GGGGCTCTGACGCTTCAGTCTGTTTTTTTTTGTTTGTTTGTTCTCTCTTGAAATTTAAAATGCAGTGGGTGACTTTGAAGTCTTTTTAATTTCTAATACTGTAAAAGAGTTTTTTGTCTTCTGAGTTCAAGTGGTTCAGTATCTGCTATCCCCTCTATCTCTCTGATAGGGGTGGTTTTCATGGCTCCGAGAACAATCCTTAATCCCATATTCTGAACCTTGTCCAATTTTCCCATTGTTGTCTGGCCTGATGCAGCCCATGCAGCGGAGGCATATTCCATGACTGGCCTGACTGCTCCAGTATATACTTGTTTTAGGATTCTGGAGTTAGCGCCCCATGTGGTACCCGCTAATTTTTTCATCACTGCACGCTTCTTGAATGCTTTCCCCTGTACTGCTTCTACGTGTGACTTTTAAGTTAGTCGCGAATCAAGTGTAACGCCAAGAAAGGTAGGAGTGTCAGTCTGTGGAATGAGCTGGTTTTTATTCAAAATTTTGACTTTTTCTTTTTTGGGGGAGAGAGAGAAAAGTGATGCTGTGCTTTTTGAATTATTTAGCTGTAGACACCACTTTTCGGTCCAAGCTTATACATTTTCCACAGTTTTCTGTAACATATATGAGGCTGTGGCAGTGTATTCGGAGGCTGTCCAAACTGCAAAGTCATCAGCATGTGGGGTATTATAAACGTGCTGGTGGCAGGTTGCTGTGATATCATTTATGTAAACCAGGAACAGAGTTGGTGCTATCGCACTGCCCTGGGGAACTCCTTCTCTTAGTTTTTGCCAGTTTGCCGATGTGTCCATCAATTCTGAATCTGGCTCTGCGTTGGAAAAGAAAGTCTTTGATCCACTTGTACATGTTATGCACAATTCCTGCCTGTAGCAGTTTTAGTTGTAGGCCTCTTTCCAAACTGTATCAAAAGCACGAGAGAGGTCAAAGAAGACAGCAAGAACTTTCTTTTTTTTCCTGGAAGGCATTCTCTATTTCCTGTGCCAGATATGTCAACTGGTCCTCTGTGTTTCTGTGTGGTGGTGATTACAGAGTTTGTCTCCAAGAACCACTTTAGTTTTTAATTTACTAATTTCTCCATCAATTTTCCTAAACAACTAAGAAGGCTGATGGGTCTCTAGCTTTTTGGGTCTCTTCTTCTCTTCAAAGGCTCGGTGCTACATTAATGATTTGAAGAGTTTCTAGCAGCTTTTCCTCTTCTTTTGTAATTGCTTTCCCAGGGACTGCATCCTGAATGATTGACCCCCAGCGCTCAAATGGCCACGCACCACTCAGTAGGACTTTTACGGAGCACACTACTATCACGGCCTTTTGGAAAGAAGCTCGATTACGATACACCATCCCAATACAGGATGCAATTTTTGTTATTTCAAACCCCCTCGGACTGAGTGAGTGAGATTCAATCCCACCAGGACATCCACCACACAAAGTGCCACCACGCGGATGAGGTCACCTGGGGGAGAGGTCACAGAAACCCCGTTCAGCAAACAAGTTGAGTTATTTAGGACCTCTGGGAACTGCCAGGGTGGGGCTTTGAAACAACAACAAAAATTGCATCCGACATTGGGACGCAGTGTGGTTTCAAGGGTACGGCTGCTGTTGTTGGGGACCCTAATATAACATAACGGTTAAACTTGGATTTGTAACCGAGTGATCTTCATCCGAATGGTGGTATTTTTTGCCAGCGGGTGTTGTACGATCCCCATGGCGTTGAACGACACAGAAACTCGACTGCAATATATACCTAATATAACCTGACTGTGGAGCGGGAGTTCTGGGACAAGTGCACCGGGGATTCTCATTCGAATTGTGGAACTTTATGCCTTTGAAACTCGGTCCCCCGCCAGCTCGCAAACTTCATGCACTTTCCTGCCGAACATGTCTTTTATGTTATGTGCTTAACATCCTGTCTGTGGGAACCTATCCCTTTTATCTGATACCATGCCCTCTCAATCTATGGTGACGTATGAAATTATTAGAGTATTTCAGTTTCTGAGACTAGATGCTGTTTATGAGGCAATTTTCTTTAGTTTTGCGCAATTTAAATTTCTTAGCCAACATAATTGGCACAAAAAAACCAGACCACAGTTCTAATCGATATTGTTCGCAGTAGGTTAAACGTTGTCGAGTTTTTTGTTTTACATAAACAAACAATGGCCCCACCCCCACGCATTTGTCCTTGGTATTGTAAGAATGTTTCTGTACAATTTAAACTACAAGTCCTCTTTTTCTTCCTAAATGATTGTAAAAGTTCAAGAATCACACCCATCATCATCCTCATCATGTGACTTGCCGACTGGCCTAGGCGATCATGCCTCTCCACAATCTGCGATCTCCTGCAGCATATATCAGTTCGTGTGCTGACACATCTCCATGCCATGCAAAAGGACTTTATCTTCGAGGCTGGTGTTTAAACCAGGTGTTACCTATTATCATGCTGCGCGACTCTGCCCATGCTATTAATCTGTCACCTCTCACATTCTTTTCTCCTAGGCCATAGCCACCCGTTATTCCGTATACTTTTTCACTTCCTATTTTCGTGTTGAAATATTCAAGTACCATTGTTATTTCACAATTTTTGCATTGATCAACAGCCATGTCCAACTCCTCATAAAATGTGTCAATATCTTCCTCTGAACTATCTGCTGTTGGGGCATAATTCTGTACTAAGTTGATGTCGAATGGTCTGCCGGGAACTTTTACTTACAGTACTCTATTTGATATTGTCCAAAATCCTTTCACAGTTTTTGAGTTCATTGGATCCAAAATAATACCAACTCCCTTGCTATATTCCTCCCCACACGAGTAAATAATTCTGTGCTGATCTGAATACTTTTCGCCTGCTCCTGGACATCGCATTTCACTAATTTCTAATACGTTGATGTGCATTATTTTTATTTCCATCTTGATGTTATCCAGCTTTCCGTTTTGTACGAGTGTTCTGACATTCCATGTACCAATGTTTAGGATGTTTCAACCATTTACTTTTTCTACAGTAGCTGGATGATGGTCGGGTATCACCCGTAGAACATGATGCTCCCTACCGGACGAGGTGACTCCACTGGAATCCCCATTCATGCTGTTATCTGAATTCGTAATATTTTGAGGAATGATTGACTAGGGATAATACAGCGGTGGTTTCCCCTTGTCTTCCGCTGGTTTGTATATGGTTTGACTAGAAAAGCCTTTGTCTAAAGAGACTTACCCTGCAAGGCGGAAAGGGGGGGGGAAGAGAGGTTATGGCACCTCTTACCCGCCGATGGCCATGTCGTAGAGTTTTGAGGTATTTTATAGAGTTAGCTGTCCCACCAACTAACTCGCCTCCTCTCAATGACCATTACCTTTTTTGGTCCAAGGCCACTTATTCAATATATTCGTGGCTAACCTCTATATCTAGAGGCCTTTCCACCATCCGCCACCTGGTGGACGCGCCTAGTAGTAGGACAGGCTCCTACCCCAGGATGCATACATAAGGAAATAAAAAAGACCATCAGTCCTTGGTAATTATCTTCAATACTAGATGTGTAGATATGTGCCTTTCAAACCAATATCTTGACTCTACAAACAGTCATTATCTTTAAGACTTCTGGTACTTTTTCATTAAATCTAGAGAGAATGAAAATCTTTTAAGAAACTTATTTCCTCGAAAGACAAAATAATAAAAACCTTGCACCCTTGAAGAGTTGAAACGATGAGCGGTTTCAGTAATAAAATAATACACATACTGGGGTTGAAAGCAGGTCAGCATGCGGTTAGACAACAATGCAAGTGGGCGGATAATCAAGATATGAATGAACAGCAGTCTGCGAGAGTGTACAACCAAGATGTTTTGGAGCTTCTGCAACCAGCCTTTATCCTGATTATGATACTAAGTTGATCAACATATTCTGATGAGGAACGCAACAATGACTAGTGTTTTTTTTTGTTTTAAATCAACTTTATTTGCCTTTCATTGCTATTCTTTTTAAACAACTGAGTCATTTTCTACAACAGACATATTTCAGTTTCTGAGACATTAGGTTTATGAGCCACTGTTCTTCAATGTAAAAATCTTGCAGAATGCTGTTATCTTATTTCTTTTGTTAATATTTGCTTCATGCCACTAAGTGTCACAATTTAATTGATGATAAGTAACTGTGCTTGGTATGCTGTGATATCTTAAGCTCCTAGGTTTCTTCCGTTTCCATTTTCATATAGTATGCTTTTGCTGTCGTCATTGTTGGATTCTTTCTTATCAGGTGGCTGACCATTTCATTTTCTTTCTCAAGGAATTTATAGATGGGTATTGTTCCAATGCTGGCGTGATGCTGACCACATCACCCGTCTAGTGCCGATTGGTTTATAGAAATTGTCTAGCCGTATACGCCTAAAGGCGTGGAAAAGGGACTTTTTTTAAAAAAATTGTTCCAATAGTTTTAATCTCTTCACTTCTTATGAGATCTCTTCTATTTTTGTTCACAGCCTTTCTAAAACATCTTCACATTCACTGGCTGTTAACTCCAGCAGAAAGTTCTGGTTGGTTGTCCGCTTCTGGGGTTTAGCCTTGTTCCAGAACTTGAGTTTTGCATGCACGTCCGTCTGACAAATCTGGCTTATTTGTAAGCAACAGCATGCCTTGCCTTTCAGACAGATGCACTCTGACTTAGAAGGAAACCCCTAATTATCCAACATGTATGACATGCTTGTCAGTGGGTCTATACTTCTTTTTGCTACAATGGAGTCTGGGATCCCACACATCTAATTTCATAGGTAGTTGGTTTCATCTCATGTTCTCTCATTAATGTTAATGTCTGTCACTGATAACCTAAAGCGGCAATGAGGACTGCATTTATAACATGTATTTTAATTTGTTGGAAAAGCCAGGTGTTGCAAGAGTGGGGTAAAGTGATATGTTATGCCGTTTGTTTCTAAAACGGTATCCAGAGAACTGTTAATTAACTGACTAAGAACACCATCATCATCTCAGTTTCTTTAATGTAACTCAATTTTTCTCACTCCATCCCTGACATAACTCTGGAAAGCTTTTTACACATTGATGTAATCTGGTCATTGTCCATATACTCTGCAGCGAAAATTGCATTAGCTATTGCAATAGTCTGCACATCATTCTGTGTGTTTAACCAGATCCTTCCATTCATGCCAACTGCAATCTCAAACTTGAATCTGTTACCAAGTGCCTTCATCAGCACACATTGGGGGTTTAATAATCTGGAAAAGAAATCATCGGTTGTAATTATTACTGGCAATGAAAGCCCCATACTTCTATGTGAACTTAAGAGGATCACACAGCATTTTTTTCCAATTTACGACAAAAATATCACCTTTTCAATGAGTTTTTGTAAAGTTTGGCATTCATAGAATTGATTACACACAAAATTTTTATCATTTTTAAACAATTTAGCATTGAAAAGTTAATACTAAAGACACCACTCCATGCACTTTTTTAAGGAAAAAAAAAGGGTAAAAGTCAGTTTTCTCACACAACTCTACATTTCTGTTTGTTGTGTGTGTGAAATCCCAAAATCGTAGCTAATATAAAGACTAGAAACATAAAATTTGGTGTGGATACTCCTTAACAATATTATAGGGAACTGTCTATTTAAAAGAAGATTTTAGAAAGCTTTTGTTATGTTAAATTTGATTACTGTCTTATAATGCTAAATTTTTTTTTACTTTTTCAACAAATCTACATTTTTAAATTCTATGAAAAATATTCAGAACATCTTTAAAGTAAATAAACAAGAAGAAACAGGAAGAAGAAGTAATCCAAATGACAGTTAATGACGACAAGAAGTTCTAAACACAACAAAGTATGACTAGAAAGCTCAACGGGAAATGGACAAATTGTGAGAGCATGCATCTTCCTTGTAGCAATATACGGATGTGAGTCATTGTGTGGGTTCTGGGGCCCTATTATAGGGGAAACAAGAACAGACCTACTGTCACCCAAAAGCATGTCGTAAGAGCCAACTAATTGAGAGTTTTCTTTGAAGTCGGAATGCATCTGCCTGAGAGGCAAGGAACCAGCAGTCTGCATACAAATGCGTCAGATCTGTAAAACAGATGCACATGCAACACTCAGGTTCTGGAACAGGACTGCAGTCCAGAAGTGGACGAACAACCAGAACTTTCCACCTGAGTTTACAGCTGGTGAACGTGAAGAAGAAGAATAAACTACACCTGTACCTCTATACAGGATCAAAGTTCATGAATCCATCATCTATTTCCTATGTTTTTTTTTGTTTTGAAATTTTAGGATTCTAAGTACATGTTTTTTCCCCCCCCCCCCCCCCTCTTCCAATATGGTGGCTATTGCCAATGCAACCATGATTTTTTTTAAACTGAATTGCAAATGTGTTAAGATATATCATCCTACAAACGACCATTATAAAATAATTGGTCTAACACTGTAAATTTAAAAAAAAAATGTTTGGTGTAGTGATGTGATGTATCCTGCAGATGATGTTAGGCTATTGTTTTTGTAGAACAACTTGTGGTCAGCAGGTGATGTCAATATCATGCTGGCCATCTATATTTCCCTGGACATTACCTGGTATCCATTTTAGGCTGGGTCAACCTAGCAGCCACACTTACTAATAAACTGCTAACATTCATTAGATGACGAGTGTGACAAATAAAGGTTATTAATTAGTGTCACAGTTTCATTAATGTGGAGCTAGGAAAATAACTAAGTAAATTATAATGACTCAACGGGAAGAGAAGAGACAGAGTGAAAGCAGCAGAAAGAAAAAACCAGATGGTGGGAAGAGGGAGTTAGGTTAGTTGCGTATCCTTTACAGGACGTTGCAGAACCAACCCTAACAGCCCCTGGCTGTTGTGTGGTTTCTCTAGGCAAATTTACGTCCAGTAGTTTGCCATTGCTTTCTGGGCGGTCGACTTTCTTGATACCACTGTCAAAACCAACGCAAGGCGGGTGGCCTGCAGCTGGGATCGAACCTGGCATCCCGGCATCACGAAGCGTTCGCCTCGAGCCACAGAGCCGACGAAGAGGGAGTAAATCAGAGAAAAAACAAACAGAAGATTCACACATTTATGCACACATTTTAATGACGGGTTGTTTAAAAAGAAAAAGTTACCAGGGTGCCATTTTACCTACGACATTGCTGATGCCCGACAGGAAGACTTTACAAGGGATGAGGATTAAAGTCTACTTGTCCTACGGCTGGGTTATTCAATTAAAGTCTACTTGTCCTACAGCTGGGTTATTCAATTAAAGTCTACTTGTCCTACAGCTGGGTTATTCAATTAAATTTACTTCAGAAGATAATAATATGTAATCCTACACATTTAGCAAAGATCCGCTGGCCACTTGTGAGAAAACAGATAGAATAACTGCAAGCTTAATTTGAAGTGGGATTGTAAAAAATATAATAGTTACTTACTTTCTGGCCAAATTCAGCGAGGTATGTATAAGGAATCCACCTCCTCGAATGACACCCATTCCACTGCTGCGTCCATAGCTGTCAATACACACCAGTTCTGGTTCCATATCCTTGTTAGCAACCAGAACTTTTGCATAAATCACATCTCCCACCTGAAGTGAAACACATTCATCATTTATATTAACATATGATAGATGTCCAAATAGGCATCAAATTCTTTACATTTTCGATTGTAAAATCACTGTTGGTAATAGTATTCTGTAAAATGATTACAATATGTCTTCCACATTCCACAAACAAATATTACCTGCAGATTACTAACATTAAGTAATTTATAAATATACAGATAACTTCTTCCTCTGCCCCCCCCCCCTCCCCAATGGAGCATATCCCACCACACCAAGTCGTTGTATCCGTCACTATCACATGCAGCTCTCCCCATGTCCTCATCTTTTTAACTTCACTCTCCATGTTTGTTCTTTTGGGTATTCCTTTCTTTCTATGCCCCTGCGGGTTCCAGTGCAAAGACATTCTAGTTATTTAGTTCTCATGCTTTCTTAATGTGTGTCCTATCCAACGCCAGCATCTTTTTTTTTTTTTACCTCTTGGTTCACTGGGACCTGTTTAGTTCTCTCCCAAAGCTCTGCATTAGTGATTCTATCACACCATTTAATTCCCTCTATTCTGAGCAGGCACCAGTTAATTTGATATTAGAATTACAAATGTTGAGTTTAGCATTAGTTTTTTTTTTTTTTTTTTGACCTCCACAAATTTCCTAATGTCATTAAAGCTCCTCTCGCCTTCTGTATTTATATTTAAATTTCTCTATCAGTTCCCCCATCTTTATCTACATTACAAAGAAGAAAAAACCTTATTCATTAGTTCTATTGTACAGTTTTTCTACCTTGGAGCAGTCATTTTTGCAGTTTTACGGAACTGCAAAATGCAGCTTTTGGGCAGAAAGATTTATAATAATAACTGCAAAATAATGAATTAACACAAAGATGAAATCACACATTGTGATTATAACTGACCCAGAAAGCATGCTGAGGAAGGTGTGGACAAACATAATTCATGCAGAGTGACATACTTCGCTTTGGAGGTCAAGGGTGAAGAGCAGTGACTGGATCTTTGCTCCAGGCATGAGTGTGTTGGAAAATGAACAGGTAGCAGGCTAGCTGGCTCTGCACAACTTGGTGGAATACTGATGCATAAGGTAAATGTTTTTAAGGCCCTATGGAAGCAGCAAGGGGCTCTGGTCGATACTCAAAGCTCAAAGGAAAGACAAGACGGACATATAATCAGACCGCTACTGGTACCATTGGTATCAGAACTCTGCAATGGCTGCTGAAGATGAGGATGGAACATTTATGGGAATGCCCAGAGTACTGTGATGTCGGTTACTGAACTCAACGCAACAGATTAAATAGACAGCAAGGAGACAGAAGTGTGTTTAATTAAAAGGAGTAACAAATGGTCATACTGTCAGACCCCTGGTACTGAAAGAGCTGAAATGAAAGTGTATAACTGCACATTTTTGGGCAGTTGATGAAAACAACAATAACTGATCATATTTGCTGCTATATAAGAAGACAATGTATGGCCATCGGTGCAGGCCTGAGAGCCAAAGCAAACATCCTGAACGACACAAGAAAACAATTAGTTAGTTAGTTATTCCTCTTGTGCCAAAGATGGCGCATAGGGCAGAGGTCATAGCTTTCCACGTTTGTCGGTTCTTTGCCACTTGATGTAGGTCTTGAGTGCGACTGAGACCTATGGTTGAGCTCTCCCTTGTGATGGTTCTACGGAGAGTTTCTTTTGGTCTTCCCTGTTTTCTTTTACCCTCTGGTGACCATATGAAGGCTTGGTGGGGAAGTCTCTGTATGTCCATTCTGAGTACGTGACCGATGTAATTCCAGCGACGCATTCTAATAAAATCAGACACATATTTTTGTTTTGTTTCCTGTCTTATAGATGTATTGGACCTAAAGTCCGACCAGTGAACATTCAATAGCTTTCGGAGGCATCTATTCTCGAAAGCGACTAGTTTCTTATCGATTGATACTGATGATTTCCAACTCTCACAACCATAAGTTAGCACTGGGATCACACAGGAATTGAAGACCTTAAGTTTCGTGTTGTTGCTGAGTGATCTTGACTTCCAAATGTTTGACAGTTTGTTAAAGGCACTTGATGCTAACGCGATTCGAGTCGTTATTTCTGATGTTGTATCTCCCGTAGAGGTTATCTTGCTCCCTAAGTATGTGAAGCTGGTGATTTTTTCAAGAAAAATATCCTTTAGTTTGATGTCTTTCGACTCGTTGGTAAGATCGATGATTTTCGTTTTGGCTGCGTTGACCTGAAGGCCGATTTGGCTTGAAATATTCTGGAGGCGGTCCATTTTTTTCCTGAGCTTCTAGATGTGTTGTGCTCAGGAGTGCTAGGTCGTCAGCAAAGTCAAGATCTTCGAGAACTTTGTCGACCCATTTGATGCCTAGATGTGTGTCCTGTGTGCATTTGCGCATGACCCAATCGAGTGCTATTCCGAAAAGCATCGGTGACAAGACACATCCTTGTTTCACGTCTGTTTCTACTGGGAACCAATCAGAGTTACCAGATTCCGTTCTAACAAGGCAGCGGGAATCGGTGTAGAAGGCCTTTATAATATTGACATATTTATCTTGGAAACCATAGATTGTGAGTAGCTTCCAGAGTGTAGGGCGGTGTATGCTGTCAAAAGCCTTCTGAAAATCAACAAAGTTGATGATGAGTTGGGATTGAAACTCTACTGACTCTTCTACGATGGTCCTGAGTGTGAATATATGGTCGATGCATGACCGATTCGGTCTGAATCCTGCTTGTTCTTCTCGGAGTCTTGCATCTATAGGCTTTTTCAGTCTCTGCATTAGCATGCTGCAGAACAGTTTTCCTGGTACGGAGAGTAGGGTGATACCACGCCAGTTGTTGCAGTCTGCTAAATCACCTTTTTTGGGCAGTTTGAATATAACACCTTCTTTCCACTGTTGCGGTGGGGATTCATTTAGCCAAACATCATTGAACAGCTGTAGCAAATATTGTAAGGTGTTTTCAAGAAAACAATACATTTACTTTAAAATGACTTACTTTAACATCAGGTCTGTTTCTTTTTGTTGCTCCTTCAAATGAAAGGTAGGATAAACTGGCCAATTCACTGCAACCAATATCTACACGGAACATGTCTACATTCTTCTGGGTAACAATTCCAAGAACTTGATCTCCCTTGCATGCAACATACTGAAAAGTATTTGGGTTATCTGTGAGTCTACAAGTAGAGTATTTCAGATGGGAGATGTGTTCACAATGAAAAAAAAAAGTATAGGTAGTAAGTAAAGTACAGTCCCTTTTCCATGGCAGTGGTGTATCGGGCATATGATTCCAGACTCATAATTTTATAGACTAATCGTTCCTTGATGGATGATGCTGCCAGCATCACGCCAACTGCCTTTACTTCCCAGACTTTACCTGGTAACCAGTTTAGGTTGGGTTGACCAGGGAGCCAATGTCATTTATAAATAAAATAAAACTTGGTGTTCATTCAAACCCAAGACCTTGAGGCTGCAGGTGCAGCATTTAGTCGCAAAGTCACCACTGCTACCCAGTAAAGGTAAGGGCAGATACTAATGTTTAGTGTTAGACCGCTACATATTTAAAGTCATATCCTATGGAGTAAGGTGGCCAGTTCCCTTTTTTACTCTTGCCAGAATTTTTATCAAGGCATTGGGGAGCCCTAGGCTCTCAGGCAGGAGACTCAGCTTCAATCCATGGTAAGAGCTGGAGATGTGTTTTTTTGTCTCTGGGGGTAAAAACAAACATCCTAACCTGCACATTTCACAGCGACTACATTAGTCATGCCTAGCTCACACTGGAACTGCTTAATTTGATGGCCATAACCTCCTTATCGAGAACATCTTGGTATTCCTGAGGAGTGAAATGCCAACAGTACTGGTTTGACGACACCCTTTCGCACATCAGAAAGATGGTGTCCTTATCAACTAGTTATAGTCCCATTTCACACAGCTTTTGCAGATGATGGCCTTAATAACAATGTGGCTCATGCAATAGAATGCCTTATGTACATGGAAGGTGACGTTATGGAATTCCGGACTGTCTGCCTGAACCACACACAGACAAGTCTTGTCTTGCATTTAGGTCTATGACAAGAGATCATGCTTTAGTGGGACTTTAGGGGGAGTTGAGTTGATTCAACTGACATCATAGCATTCCCATAAGCGCTCCGTTCCCATTTTAAGCAGCCAGCGCAGAGTTCTAATACCAATGGTGCCAGTAGCATTCTGATTATAAGTCCGTCTTGCCTTACCTCTGAGTGTTGAGTATCAGCCAGATCCCTTCGTCACCATTCTCATCAGAATATGGTGATTCATTTGCTTCTCAAGAGTTGTACATGTTCTTCCACAAGGCCCTAATCACGTCTAATTGTATTTACTAATTTAAAGGCACCTGAAATGCTGCATATGTGGGAAAAACGGATCATGGACTCAGTCACTGGAGAAATTGGTTGCTAAAAAGGCTATCTTCCGAATAACAATCCTAAATTATCGAGGCCTAAAATATACCCTAACAAGGCCTCAGTCACATGGCAATTGCGGACTTCTGGCGACTACCACCACCGCCGAGAGTATCTACCACGCCGCTACGCGCAGTGTGGATTGGGGCTAAACTGGATGGCTGAGTAGGTTGCGCAGTAAAAAACTTCTTGTTTCTGGGTCACAAGTTTTAGCGGCTGTTTCTTACATCTCATCTCCACAAAACCTACATATCTCAGCTCAGAAATGACATACAAGCCTAAATGAGGTACCATTGGAAAGAAATTGTTTACAGCTATCTAACTGTGCTGGTTTTATTGGTGTAGAGGGCATTTTAAAAATTTTACTGAAGTAGCTAGTCTGAGTCTTGTAGCAAAATGCACCTGACCCCTGACGAGATAAAGTGAAATATGCAAGGCAATAATTTTTATAAATTGTGCAATCTATTGTGATTTTCTTTGTTCAAATTCACAACAGGAAAACATTTCTTTGATATAGTTAATCATTTACTATAGTATTCTATACTTATACTAAATTTTAAAAAACATCCTCACCCTACCTAGTCCTAGTCCCACTTACCCGCTTTTGGTGACAATCAAGCCAGTATACACCAGGATCGCGGTATCTTAATATTCCCGGTTTACATACTTTGATAACATCCCCATCTTCAACTAAACCAGGTCCTAACAAGAGCTTCTTACTTCCATCCGGAGGTTTAATATCTTTTAAAACATCACCAGGCAACACTACCGTTCCAATGTGGTTGGCCATTTTATAAACAACGGGACAAAACCGGAAGAAAGGCGATCCAACAATTAACGCAAGTTACCGTAATCCTACGTTAGAGCTACACGCGGCCTTCTCTATTAAATACAGAAGGGCCTAGGGCTACATAAACTAATCATCATCATACTGCTCTGTTAATTCCCGTCCTTTTTAGGATGATATTTTTCGTTATTTGAAGCCCTACTCTGGTTCTTGCCAGGGGCCGCGATATAGCCCGGCCATAAATATGGCCTAAAGGCTGAACGCGGTTTCTGGGACCTCTCCACGGTGATCCTCACCCACATAGTGACACATTGTGTCATCGGGTGTTTATCGCTTGTATGATGTCCTGTTGTGGTAGAAAGTCAGTCATACTGCCGTGACGTTATGTTAAACGTCGCGAGGGGTTCGCAGTCTAGTATGGAAAAGACGCGCACAAACACAATGGAACGTTTTTAGATCAGTGTCACCCTAGCCCCCTTTCAATTATAAAATTGCGCAGCGCCCCCCCCCCCCCACGCCTTCTCGGTATAAATAATCAAAATCATCATCATGTGCTGTGCCGATTAGCACAGGTTTTAATGATTCGTCATCGTGCATAATCAACAGTATCAAGGACCAGGTCAGAGCTAATGGCAAAGCCGTCAAAGTATTTATGTATTTGCCTCCTAACTATTATAATTTAGCCTCCATTCCTATCCTTAAAATACACTTTCTGTAACGAAACATTGCAACGGTTAAGGTGAGTTGCGAATCCTTTACAGGACGTTGCAGAACCAACACCAACAGCCCCTGTGGCCAAACTTAATTCATGACTCCAGACCTCGGACATCTCCAGCTGCGATTAACAAGGACAAGACGAAATGGTGGCTTTGCAACAGGTATTGTGAAGTTTGGTGTTATACATTTGTTCCTGCGGTAGCAAATTAACCACCTACCTTCACGACCAGAGTGAGAAGTGAATGGTTGGTTCATCGGGCAGACTTTGAACTTTGGCATTTGGCAAAGAAACACTGGCAGACGTGAATCGGACACTGGTGACTTTTGGGGTTTAAGAGTTCTTTTCCACTAGGGACTCGGACCAGTCTACCGAGGCCCATCCCCACAACGTTCCGTTGTGTCCACAGCCAGCTCGAAGCTTGTTCTGCAGCTTCACCCACTTGTTTTAGCGCCCTCTACAGAAACTGGCGACCCAGCGACACGCAATGTCATGGCAAGATGGTAATGAACACTAGAGGCAAATAAGAATTAAAGTAACAGCTGAATTCACTAAGTTTGTCGGTAGTATTAATAGTTAACAAAACACAAAGAAAGAAATTGTGACACGCGTTTGCAAGTCAACAGCAGCTTTGAAACTGGAACTCAAAATTCGACTACCTTTCAACTAACTCATCTCAATTTCTAAGTGATTCTCTGCATTTTGCTTCTATGCACCATGAAATCATATGCCCGAGCCAGCGATACCAATACGACAGAAGTGTGCTCTGAGTTGACTGTTTCAATTTCCAAAAATTCAAATATGCGTGTTTCTATCAAGCGATGTACTATGCTGTCTGTGACGTTTTTTTTTTCTTTTCAATTTGTATTTTTATACTCTTTTCAGTTCAACTTCAAAGACTGTTTTTAAAAATGTCCTCCGCGTTTTGAATGTCTGAGACGAATGGGGCTGCGTGAGGTTTTATGCAAGCTTTGAAGCTAGCATGCCTTTATATGTTCTTTGATGCTTAAGTAAAACTACCGAAAATTTTCAACATCAGCTGGGAGAAAGGACTGGTGTCTCAATTATGGAGAGAAAACATCACTATACCCATACTAAAAAATGGAAAAATTACCACCCACGTTTCAAGCTATTGACCATTAGTCTCCAACGTTTTGTAGGAAAGACTTTGGAGAGAACTGACAATTCAAGACTGAAATGGCACTTAGAATCTGAGCAGATCTTGGTGCCAGAGCAGGCTGGATTTAGGGAATGTCACTGCATAGAAGACCAAGTCACAAGTTGTAGAAGATGCGTTCCAAGAGAAAAAATAGGTTCCTCTTTGTGGGTTGACTTCAAACAAGCTTTTGCAAAACTGGTGAAAATATGGGGGTGACTGCAGTTAAGCTTATAAAAGGAATTCCAGAAAAATTTGAATAAAAAGCTCAACAAAATGGGGAAGCAGTAAAACGTGAACAAAACAACACAACGTAAACACTTGTGTTTGAAAAAGACCGCCCGGTCAAAACGTTACGTTGTGTTGTTTTGTTCTCGTTTTACTGCTTCCCCATTTTGTTGAGCTTTTTTGTCAAATTTTTCTGGAATTCCTTTTGCAAAACTGAAGAGAAATGGAATCCAAGGAATCATGCTAAGATGGATCCAGTCATTTTTTCCACTTTAGGAATCACTTGTATTGGCCAAAATCTTTATCAGCGGTGTACAAACTAGTTGGAAAAGTCAGTGACATTCATTTTAGATTTCTCTTGAATAAGTTTGTTTACTCAACCCACCTGTTTCCTAATTACCCGCTCATTCTTCTCGATTATAGATACTTCACTACCACAGTTTCCTTAAAGGGGCATTGGTGGAGAGAGAGGGGAATTGTAATATGTCACCATCAATACGTCCTCTCCCCCCAGCCAGTGTTTGCAACATGTTTGCTAACACCAAAGATGGGCTACTTGTGATGTTAGATCAAAGCTGGGTTACTTGTGTACCAAAGCTGGATTACTTGTGTTTTAACATCAAAGCTGGGTGATGTGTGTTTATCAAAGCTGGGTGACTGGTATGTTTATATCAAAGTTGGGTGACTGGTATATTTACATCAAAGCTGGGTGACTTGTATGTTTATATCAAAGCTGGTTGACTGGTGTGTTTAAATTAAAGCTGTATTAATTGTACGTTTATAATCAAGCTGGATTGCTTGTGTTTTTATATCAAAGCTGGGTGACTTGTATGTTTACATCAAAGCTGGATTACTTGTGTGTTGATATCAAAGCTAGGTGACTTCTTTGTTTACATCAAAGCTGGATGACTTGTATGTATATATCTGTTTATCTTTCCCTCTTCAACACACACTATCAATATTCAAATAAAGACAACACTATTAACTTTTAGAAAGACCGACACTAATGCATGAAGATTACAGCACAGCCAACATAATAAAACAATTAACAAAGAATGACTGTTGTTAAACTTTGAAGCTTTAATAATGCAACTCACTCATACATCCACTGCAGACTTACAAAGTTTCGCTTTGGCTTAGGCATACAGATCAATCTTTACCAAAATACATCATTCTGATGACTGCAAGTATTGGAGTCACATCTATCTAATCCTTCAAATGAAAGTGCTTGATCGGTCTGTTCTTATGTGTCTGCCCTTCAACATCAGAGTGCATCTGCCTGCTAAGCAAAGAACCAACAGTCTAGATACACAATCTAAATTAGAACCGTAAAAATGAATGTTCATGAAGAACTCAAATTCTGGATCAACACCAAAGTCCAGGAATGGATGAACAACCAGAACGTTCTGTATTGCAGAGACTATACTCATACTAGGATTTGTTCTACAGCCACAATTATTACCAAATTTAGTTCACACAACACAAATGTATGCAAATGAAAAAAACAATAATGCAAATAGTGTGGACATAAACTATACATTGCAAAATATAATGCCTGACACATTTCACTGTATCTGGTCAGGTGCATTACTACAGAGTTAAATCCACAAATAATAAAGCACAAAATGAATCTTTTTCACCGAAATACATAAATTGCACTGTTAAATTAGGCCGTATATTTCTCCAAAGGAAAATCAAGATCAGCCATGTGATTACCATGGTAACCTGTGCAATGTATTGTTTGTGTAAACATTTTTAAATTTACTACCGGAAAAGGTTAAAAAAAAACAAAAAAAAAAAACAGCTAAAACTTCTTTTCCTCCTCCTGCCAGTGGTTTTCATACGAGAAGGCCACAGGTCTCTATGAAGTCTGTGGGGCAAGACATGTCATCCACTGTTCCATCTAGCTTGGTTTCCATTGGAATGCTAATCAGCCAGACACCTGAGATCTCTCTACCGCATGCAGAGAGCAAGTCTGTAGCACAAGTTCAGTATTCTGTGGTGCCTGTCCACAAGGGCAAAGTTATGAATCCTCAAATTTTGGATTTCCTGTACATATGGCTACAGAGTCTGTTGTGTCCAGTATACAATCTGAAAATAATGGTCTGCTCCCTTCGTGTGTTGAGTCTTCAGGATTGTATACAACATTTAGGGCCCACAGTCTTCCATTCTGTTCTTTCCAGTGTAATCCTTTTGATATCATGGACAGAATCCCACCCAACTTCTCTCAACAATGCTTGCCACAGGATTTCAATTGGACACCCTCGTTTTCTCAATCCATTTGTTTCCTATTTAAGTTTCTCTGACCATTTCCCCTTTGCTGTATGTTAAAACTAATTTATTCAAATCATCTGAGATCTGTACATGTCACGGTTTAGTGCATGAACTATTACCTAAATAAAAGGATACTCTAAATAATGAAGTGTGACACAAAATATAACATATTATATTCATAGTAAAAAAAAAACAGCATACAATAAAAGCTAACAACTATGGCCTTTGATATGGGTGTGACGTAACAGCGGCCTTAATGTTGGTCTTTACGGCACTTGGGACCCTGCCAATACCAGATCCAGGCACTGAAAGAGAAATAAATGTTACAATCATGTAATTAATTTTCAACAATTTACTGTCACCCACTTAAGTTATTTCTTACAATGAAAATTAAAATGTATAAAACAAATTATGCTCTGAGGTGGCAATCAAAGTTCATGAGAACTACATAGGCCAACAAGATGGTTATAGCCCATTAGTAGTACAAAGTCGTAGATGAGTAGCTGGCATTGTAATGGAAAGTAAAAACAACCAGCATGGTTTTGATATCATCCTATAACATCTTACAAAGGGTAGGGGTAGGGACAGAGTTGTTTATTAAAATATAGAGCTGGCACCATATGCTCAAAGCATGAGAACGGGAACTTTATTTGCCCACCCCTTACAAATTATGGAATCACCGCCATGCATCTATGTGTCCGTTCTGGGACAAAAAGAATGGGACCTACACCCCCTTTAACAAGCATGTCGTGAAAAGTGATGAATTAAGTACTTGCTGAAATTGTATGTGCATGGGCTGAAAGGTGAAGACTGGCTGTAAACCACAACACAATGCATCAACTGCATTTGTAAGGGTGAATGCCAAGGAGAAAGACCACCATGAATTTATGTGAAATGATGTATGACAAGTTAAATATTGTGAGGGCCCTTTGGGAGCGAGTGAACAGTGCCAAGGCGCAGACAGATCTTTACGGTCTAAGGAGAAAGGTACTGCAAGGAGTTACCAGGGGATCTGGCTGACACTCAACACTCAGGTGAAGGATGAGGCGGATATACAATCAGACGGTTACTGGTACCATTGGAACTGGAACTCTTCGCTTGCTGCTGAAGATGGGGGACTAAGCACTTATGGGAGTGCCCCGAGTGCTGTGATGTCGATTCTTAATTCAATATTCAACCGCCATGACAAGGTATCTGACTCACTCTGAGGCTTCTGAGGCAAAGGCTGCTGCTGGTGCTGCTGTGTTGGCATGGACCCCATCTGCGGGGCCGGTGACATCTGGCCCTGAGAATCTTGTCTCCGTAATCTCACCCCCTTGGTTACTGCGGCTATCAGCATTGCTGTCTCTTGCTGGGATGTTGTTGGCGGAAGGGCATTCCTTAGACTGGCTGGAAAAAAAGAATGAGTGTGAGACATATTAAATTAAAGTAACCGACTCTTAAAACATGTTAAGAAAGGTGTAGACAGGTGTGCTCTGTGCAGAGTGGCAAGCATTGCTTTAGGGGTCTCTGGTGTTCTTTGGATATTTTCTCAGTGTTTAAAAAAAAACAACAACAGACTGACTGGTTCTGCACCAATGGGTGGTGAAATTATGCATGACAAGCTAGATGTGATCAAGGCCCCCTGGAAGCAAATCAATAACGCACAGACATGAACAGACCATTATGGGTGCGGGAGAGAATCGTATAGCTAGGAGTGACCAGGAAATTCTGTCAACACTCCACACTCAGAGAAAATAAAATATGGACATATAATGAAATGGATCCTGGCACCAACAGATTTTGATCTTCGCTGGAGAAAATTGCACTTATGTAAATGCCACAAATGCTTAGTACAACACTCAACAAATTAAAGTAACCAGTATCTTAATCAATGCTTGTCGTAAGAAGGACTAAAGAGGGCTGACCACCTCATCTTTTTGAAATCTCACGCTGCAAAATCCAGCAGCCATAAACAAGCCAACAATGCATTCAGAAATGTAAGCCAGAAAAGTGTAACTCAATCACTCCTAATTAGTTGCTTTTTACAATATTCTTGTTAAGAAGCAGTGGGTTCACACCCCTCCCCCCTTTTTCATCCCAAAATGGAGTATAGACCTTGAATCAATATACACCAATCCCTGTGTGGGTTCTGGGGCCCCATCGTGGGGGTGGGGGGGGGGTGGGGGGGGAGAGACAAGAATAGACCCACTGCCTCCCCAACAAACATGACGTAAGAGTAGACTAACTGGGGGTTCCCTCCAAAGTTGGAGTGCATCTGCCTGAGAGGCAAGGAACCAACAGTTTGTATACAAAAATGGATGTGCATGCAATAGCCAGGTTCTGGAACTAGTCTAAGATGCAGAGGTGGATGAACAACCAGAACTTTCCACCGGACTTACACTACCCCTTCCATCTTCAGATGTGTTTACTGTTGACTGAATTTTGAGGCTAGAGTTTTCTAGGTTATAGGGTAACTAATCCAATCCTTCATGTCTTCTTAGTCACAATTTAATCACCATCATGTGGGGTTGCAATGATGCATTTTTTTCTTCCCTTAATTTTCCCAGCAACAGCTAGGTAATCAGTTTTATTTTCTTAGGTTGTTGGGTTGAAAATTCTGTTGAAGACTGCGCCGACATCCAGGCATCTGAACCCAGAAATAATTGTGCATGATGGCCACAGTCACCCTAGAAATAGGCCTGACGTCTTCCTTCGAAGTCGGAGTACAGCTGCTCAGGAGGCAGGGAAATTAAAAACGGTTGTACACGCAAAAATCAGGTCCAGGTGAAAGCCAAAAGTCCAAGCGGACGATTATCCTGGACCTTCCACTGGAATTCACAGCCGGTGATCGATAAAAAAAAAAAAAAAAAAAAAAAAAAAAAAAAAAAAAAAAAATTGTGCATGGTCTGACCTAGTACTGAAGTACCAATTCAAGAACTGCACTGAGGAGCTTATCTATACATTTCCCCTCTCTACATGGTGTGTGTAGGGCCAATACTCAAGCTTCAAAATAGGGATAACTGCAGTGAAGCTGATACAAGCTAAATAAGCAAAAAATACTTTACATGAAAAATTGTTTAAAAATCAAAGGCAGTTTTGACCAGAGAGGCTGCATGAGTGAACTTAACAAAATCATCTAAAAAAACTAGATGAACGAAAATAACCAGACAGAAATACATAATCCAGTATGGATCACCCGCTCCCAAGAGTGTCTTCATGTGTTTTTCTTTGGGTATTCCAGTATTTAACCTGGAACTCTTGTTCTACTGATTTAAAAAGGAAAGGGGGAAAAAGTGTATTGGGAAAAGGAATGACATCCTTCGTTGCTGCAAACATGTGCATTAAAATGGACAAGAACATGGTACAATTTCAGGCAGAAGCAGTACCATACTTTTTTTTTAAACTAAAAAATAAACAGAAACACGTAATTAAAAAAAACGAAAAAAAAACCACTGCCCCCAACAAACATGTCACAAAATTCAACCATATAGGGATGTTTTCTCAGAAGCTAGAGTGCATCTGCCTGAGAGATGAGGAAACAATATCTACAAACAGATCTGTAAAATGATGTGCAAGCAAAACTCAGGGTCTGGAACAAAACCAAAGTCCACAAGTGGGTGAACAACAAGAACTTTCCCCCAGTTTACAGCTGATGAATGTGAAGAAGAATGAAAAGAAAGGCAACAGGATCAACTTGACCACACCAGGAGTTATCCAATATGGCTAAGTATCTCTCCTCAGAAAAGGATTCCTAAAACAAGACTGACATACAAAATACAAACCCTGTAGTTCCAGCAATGACATTTAAGGATCGGTGAAACACCAGGACCTTTGAAAGAGTCTGAAACCAACCTTATGACCTTACTACTTTCACGGAGAGAACATCTGTATTTACAAATAAATATTTTCGTAACAGTAGGAAATAGCAAGCTCATATTGAACAGGAGCCGCCAAAGCCTAGCGGTTAGGCACGCGCTTGCAGACCCGAAAGTCCTAAATTCAAATGGAGCCCGACCTTTTTTTTTAGAAACGACCATGGCTGCCAGCCTAAAATGAACATGAGGTAAAGTCCTGGGAAGTACAGTTGAGTGGCGTGATGTTGACCACAGCACTAACAGAGTGCCTATTGGTCTACAAAATAGCATCATCATGTAGCAGGTCCTTTGCAGAACGTCGCTCTCATCCAGGTCTGCCTGAAAGAAACTCGGTCTCCTGCCTCATGTACTTTCATACTCAAGGAGTCACTTATATCCTGAGCCAATCTTCGTGTCAGTCGGACCCTGCCCCTCCTTTCTGGTACCATGCCTTCTGCTATAAATTTTTTCCAATCCGCCGTGACGCTTGACATGACCAAAATATTTCAGCTTCCGAGACATGATGCTGTTTTTTTTTGCCAATCTATAAAATATAGGTCTAGCACTATATGCCCAACACGCCTGATGTTACTTTATTTACTTACCAGAGTCCTTGTCCCAGTCATCACTTGAAGCATTGATAATATCCAGAATGTTACTGGTAATCTTGTTCAGCATAGTCAATTGTTTCTGGAAAGAGACATGACAAATAACTAGGTAACTAACTACAGTAACAAAAGTGATCTTCAGGAATGAAAAGAAAAGTAAAAGACGCTTCTCATGCCACTTGCACACACACCATAAAGTGTTGGATCCAATTTTTATAGATTAAACAGAACTCGATAAGGATGTGGTCAATATCTTGTCAGCAGCCTTTACTCCCCATGACACATCCTGGTGACTATTTTAGGCTGGACTTACCTGGGAACCCAAAGCTTATTTTAAAAATATACTTTGATGGGGACTCTTGATGGCAACTATTTAAGGGTTTGTCAAATTGGCTGTAGGCTGAAATGGATACATATCACAGCCTAGCTTGAAAACAATAATACAATGTGTCAATTACCCTTCTAAGGGTGCTTGTAAAAGAAGGATACCAACTGGAAACAATATTCAAATTTAGCCAAAGAAGTAATTTTAACTTACATAAAGCTGACAAAAGAAATAATGACAGTCACATTTATTAATACAAGTAATATTGCCAATATATTTGGAAATAAGAAATATATGATTATCGCAGTGTTTAACAAACTTTTCTTAGTCACAGCGCCTTCTTTCAATTAAAATTTTTCTACAGCGCCCTAACTTAAGTAAAAGTATGACTAATCGTATGTTAGAGATCAAAACAAATAAAACTTGTGTATCTTTAAAAATTTCCCGGCGGCCCCTGTAAAGAGGTTGCGGCTCCCCAGAGCGCACAGTTTAAGAATCACTGGATTAAGGAATTTGAACAGCTTACTGTTCCTTAACAAGAATATTGCAAAAACCAACAAATTAAGTGATGAAATTGTTGCACATGGCTAAGAGAACCATATACTGCAGTCTAGCTGTACACCATAGAATAACTTACTAAATGCCCCTTTAAGGGCAAAAATATAAGTAGTTACTATCAGACATGAGAGAACCTGTAATACTAAGATAGTGGAGAAGTTGGACACAAAGCAAAATTTAAAGAAACAACAATGAAAACCAATGTCCTAGGTTACAAGAAACAGCTTCTCTGAGAGAAACAAGAGACCAAATATTATCAATATAACATTTTCAACCTGGGCCACCTCTGGTGTGATAGATGCAGAGACAGGGCAGAACTGCGACAAGAACTTGAAGCAACATTTAAAGAAACAACTCCTCCGAAAGAAACAAGAGACCAAATATGATCAATAACAGAACATTTTCAACCTGGGCCACCTCTGGTGTGATAGATGCTGCCTTGCTGCTCAACATCTGTACTTTCTCTTCCACTTCTGGCTCCGGCTTCGTGCGAAGATAGTCAGGCACCACTTCATGGTTGAAAGCTGAGACACGGCCTTCTGTTAATTTCTGAGTAAATTGGAAAGAAAAAGCAACTTGTTAAAATACAACATGCATAAAATACATACAGTAGACAAATATAAGTATATTGTCTGTTCAAATTCTCATATACCCATAGATTCAGTGAGACGACGCAGAATCGATTTCCAGCATGGATGTTCAGTATGCCCTGAATCTAGTTCAAGCTATTCATGCTTAATTTCAGCAATTTCATAATTATAATCAAGTATTCAATCTCAGAAACAAGGACCATAGATCAAAGGCCATGAACAGGGGATTAATACATGCAGCAACAGCTTCGAACAGCTGCAAACATGTTCTGCAATTATAAGATATCCAGTTTGACTTCAGATGCTGGCTATCTGGCAACAGATCGGTTTGAGTTTACTTCAACAATGGCACAGATAGCTGACGGTTCAGAAAGCAAGGACAAACTACTGAATGTATAATTTGTCAAGTCAATGCTGGGGTTTATTCTGCAAAAGTCTTGTAAAGGATGCGTAACTAACTTTCACTATGATATCTTGAAACTTTGACAGGGGTCGTCTAAGACCATCGAAAAACACATATTCACTGAAGTTATCAAGTAGCGACAAAAATAATTTTTGGGGATCGCCACAACATTAGCTTCCGAACCAATACACAAATAAGGCAAGAATCCAGGCAAGAGTATGTGTCTAATTTTATACGAAAACGCCGCTGGAACTATGTCGGCCACGCCCTTAGAATGGATAAATCAAGACTTCCTTACCAAGCCCTCATTTGGACCCCACAGGGGAAAAGATCTCGTGGAAGACCAAGGGAAACTTTACGTAGAACTATCATCAGGGAAGGCTCGCTCATGGGCCACTCAAACATCCAAGACCTACAACGGATTGCAACGGACCGCCGTGCATGGAGAGTCATGACCTCTGCCCTATGTGCCGCACTCGACACAAGAGGAAAGACTAACTAACTAACAACATTAGGAACTGTATCAAAAGATTTCAGCATTAGGAAGGTTGAGAACCACTAGGCTAGAAAAAGGTAATTTGATACCCTTACCTATACTAACACAATGGTGACTTACTGAGACAACTTATGATAGGTATGTCTTCTACGTGCTGAGTTAGGAACATTTAACACTTTTCCATAAGTGCTCAGTCGCCATCTTCAGCAGCCAATTCCAATACTGATGCTGCCTTCAAATCTATATGTAATATAATATTTATCCAATACAAGACCTATATAACTTACAAGTGTCCAAGCCTGATGAATACAATAAAGTCACAGTGAATAAGACAACTGATGCAACTACCTCAAGATGTGGATCTCGGTCAGGGGACAGTAAAATTGGAAACAAAACATAGTTCCTCAGCAGTGGCATCTTTTCTGTCTTCAACAATCGTTTTATTGAACTCAGGCCAGAGGAAAGTACTCCAAAGTGCTCCATCATGTTAGGCCTGTGATGGTGGAAAAAAAAAGCTTATTTGTTATGAATTTAAATTATTAAAAAAATACACTGCATAAACTATTACCAGGTATATACAGTGAAACTCCAAAATTCAAATTTTTTGAAAAAGGTCACATTTTCGTTTGATATTTGCCCCTCCTCTGGCTCAAGGTAGTGAAATTAAGGAATGGCTGCCCACTTGGGCAAAATGCAGGCTGTTTTGAGAAAAGGCAATCAAACACCGCTATAATTAATCAGCAAATCAATTCATTAGATGATACCTTTTATGAACAGACCACAGCAAGTTATTATTCTACGCCTTAGAACAGGACACAATCGACTGCGCAAAATTTAAAATCGGTGAATCAGCCATGTGCACATATGGACTGGCACCTGAGACAACAGATCATGTTCTCCAAGACTGTCCCAAATACAACATATCAAGGCAACTTTTGGCCAGTCAAACTGTATGGGTAGCTGAGTGAATTATAAAAGACAGTGAAGTTCATAACAGAGACAACATTGCAGATATAGATAATCTATTTCAAGCAAACAAAAGAAGAAGAAAAAGAAGATTACATAATGTGTCTTGACACTTTTGGAAAACAACAACAGAATAACACTGGATAACTTCTTATAACGAGTGCTGTGAATCTAGTGGAAATGCTGATGACTCATCAGGACATCAATCACCAGAAGTGGGGTGACATTAACTGTTGTGATGAAGGTGAATCTCATTTCAAACAACAGCCATTTTTCCTCCAAAAGGTTCAGTTCCTTTTGAAAACTGTATTTCTGTAGGCCTACAGTATAATCAGGATGAGTAAATCTATGTCATAATGATAAAGCAATAAGTAATGTAGTTAATATGTAAATAAAATGTATTTGGAATGATTCAGTGAACTTTGTCATGTACTAAATATTTGCCTTTTTTAATATTCGTCCACCCCTCAAGAATGGATTAATGATGAATACTGCAGTTCCACTATAACTGTGGCCTGGGCACTGCCAACGCACACCAGCTTCAAGAGACTCAGTTTGATTCCAGTTGCAGGCAACAAACTGTCTTGCATGATTTTGGCAATGGTATCAAGAGACCACCCAAAAACTAATGGCAAAAAAAAATTTGCAACAAACAATTGCTGGGGTTGGTGCAATGACCTCTTAAGGATACTGAACTAACTTATATTACACTGTACATTGCATTCTACAGATTTTACATCAAAATATATATGTGAGTAAAGAACAGTAGGGAAGCAACTGAGATGTGGTTCTTGAGAAGAATGTTGCAAATACCTTGGTTTTACCAGAATAACTAACAATGACTGCTTGGAAATGGCTAATGAAACTAGAGCATTAAATATAACAATGAGAAGGAGACAATCAAAGTTCTTTGGTCATGTGATAAGAAAAGAAGCACTGGAAAATATTGTAATGACTGGAAAGATCACTGATAGAAGAGGTAAAGGCAGACCAAGAGAAATAATGGTGAATGGCTTAATACAGTGGCATGGAGGAATATCATCAGTGGAATTGGTCCAGAACATGTAAGACCGAGATCTGTGGAGATGCATGAATGCCGCCTATGCCAGCTGGCACGGCATTTGATGATGATAATGACCTATGGAGCACAAAAATGAATCACTTTGATGGAAACATCAAAAAGTTTGTTATTTCAATGCTGAGGTAAAAAAAAAAAAAAAAAACTATAGGTTCTGTTTGCATAATATAAACTGACTGCAAAATTTAGTTTGTATCATTAATTATTTAAATTAACAATGGGACAACTGTTAGTTAGTTAGTAGGGTTATCATCATTGCACTCTGGACATGTCCATAGGTGCTCAGATCCTCCCCTCAGTATGACACCCAACGTCCGATGGCTAATAGTACCAGTTCTATGTTGATTAACAAGTCTTCTGACGTGTCTGGTGTGCGTCTCATTTTTTGCTGTGCCGATCTTAATTCCCAAGTCTGCCATCTGGCAAGTGATGTGGATTCACTGCCACCAAAGTCCTCTCTCCTTCCCATTTCTCTGAGGGCTTTGATAATATCAGCATGATCCATAGGCTGACCGTCGGTAGTGATAGCGGATCCAGCCAACCTGTCAGCTCTTTCATTTCCATCGACGCCTGCGTGTCCCGGAACAAAAATAAAGGTGACTCCACGCACAGTGGACTTCTGTAATGATTCAAGCCATTGTCTTCGCACTGAACCTGCTTGAACACTCCGGATCATACTCATTGAATCACTGAGTATACATACGCGGGTGTTTTTTGTGTTTCAAGCCAGGCAAACGCTCGCGTCACTTCCATCATCTCCATCGTCATGCTGCTGGTTGTCACGGAGAAGGCGCCGTCGGCTTCTTTGACTGTTTTGCCAGCTGAGCGTGCTGTGAATGCAGATGCGCTTCTTCTTTGGCCTATAACGGATCCGTCTGTATAGATTAGTGCATCTGCTTCGTCTGAATTTTCACAGATGAGAGCGTTGACCTCTGCATTAACAGCAACAGGATTCTCTTCTCTACATCGCCTGTTGAGTGTGACAATACAGGAAAATGTACAAATAAACGCCTGAGGCACAGGTATCCATTCTGCACCAGGTATGATGTCGGTTAGGCTGCATATTTGCCTAATAACATCTTCTGCCTGACCTAGCCACGATTTCCCCCTCTTCAGTCTGTCGCCCTTTTCACTGAAAAGCGCTTGATGCAGTGGGTGTTTCTTATCAGCACATATTTTGAGGTATGCCCGAGCCCTCCACATCCTGATCCTTTGGTTCATTGTTGGAAAGTCAAGTAGATACCTCATTGCTCCACAGGATGTGTCTCGTGTACATCCCAAAATAATGCTCATGGCTTCATTTTGCACCTTTTCGAGTTGTTCAATCTGGGTAGCACTGACAGTGAGGATGGCCAGAGCGTATTCAATGGGGGAAAGGACCAGACCGTAGAATAGAAGTATTAGTAGTCTTTGCTCGATATTGGAAGCAGCCATAATCCTCATTGCAGATATACCTTTGCTCGCTTTTGTTATCACATGGTCAACGTGTTCCCTGAATGACAAGCTGCGATCGAACCTCACCCCGAGAAACGTCATAACGTTGGTTCGGATCAATACATTATCACCCATTTTCACTTCTGGTAAGTCCGACTTGACAATGTGATTGTTCAAAGAGAACCATGACACTGATGCCTTCGAAGGATTGACATAGGCAGTGGATGCATCACACCAGGCGGCAATTCGATCGAGTTCTTTGTGCATTGTGCTGGCGATCTCCTGTCTATCACGCCCTCGTCGATAAATCAAAATGTCATCAGCAAATGACAAAGTCCTTCCCTTTCCATTCAACTGCTGCTCAGTGATCATCACCGTATAAACGTTGAATAAGACTGGTGATAGCGGTGATCCCTGTGGCAAGCCTGGACATATCATTTGCGGTTCTGAGGACCAGCTACCACATCTTAGTACAATCTTTCTCTGGAACAGGACCGCAGCGATCCAGAGGATCAGAATAGGATTTACTTCTAGTTTAAGCAGTAACTGCATTAAATAATCATATGGTACTTTATTGTAGGCATCTTCTAAGTCCAACACTGCCGCACATGTCTCTTCTTTAATCTGAAATCCCTCGTACACATCGTAGGGACAACTGTGTTGTGTGTAAATGCGTTTTATTTAAAAATTTTAAATTCTACCAAGTTTAAGATAATGATAGTTTCAGGAATTGTGAATAATAATAATAACACACAATCATAAATTAACATACTTTGAAATTTACCTCTACTTTAATGAAAGACACAGGTAATTATCTTTAATGACAGACACACTGTGCTAAAAACATATTTACTTTATGATGTTTGTTACAAAAATAATTCTACAATTAAAAAACATTTCCAATATCAAAATATCAGAAATTAACAAGCATTCATCAGTTTAGCTAGATCATATTTGAAAATGTATGAAATTTGAATAACAGGGAAACATGACAAAAAAAAAAAAAAAAAAAAAGCTCACAAAGGCATAACACTAAATAAGGTAAGAAAACTGCAGATAGGCCCACCATGAAATATTCTGATAGTCATTCTCAAGCTTGTATATAAAGCTTGAAACACCCTGCTTAAGTTCTCGAACCCTCTGGATAAGATCATCTAATGCAAGGTCCAACTGCTTTTCCTCATTCTGAAAATAAAATTCAATCAGATCCAATGTAAGTAAAGTAAAACAGCGGAACCTTTCCTGCATTTGGCAGGTTCTAGACCTATAATTTGACAGATCAATGAGGCATACAACGGGTGGTGACATCATCACCACAACAATCTTCACTTCCCAGGACAGGAATATTTCAATGGTGGCCCATGGGCCAAAACTGGACCGCTAAGGCATACCAACTGGCCCATGGGCCAAAACTGGACCGCTAAGGCATACCAACTGGCCCATGGGCCAAAACTGGACCGCTAAGGCATACCAACTGGCCCATGGATTAGTATCATTGTACCTATTAACAATCTTTCTATGCTTGGACTAGGCCTCTGGTCAATGACAATCTACATTTTCACAATTTTGGCACCTGAGTTAAACTTGATTGAATAGCCATGTCCTAGGATATCACCTGGTACCCATTTAAGGATGGATAAACCTGGTAGCCCCCCCCCCCCCCAATAAAAATCAGTTCTTCTTCTTTACCTTTGTACCTTAGCTAAATGCCGGGGGGAGATGTAAAATCCGTTGAAGAGCTCTGCCAAGAGCACTATTAAAGACTGATGTTCATTTCTGTAAAGCTGTTCTTAATGCCATCACTCCATCTCTTCTGAGGTCTTCCATTCACTCTATACCTGTTGTAATGTTTTAGTTTGGCTCGCTGTGACAGATAGTACCAGGGCATTCCTGTTAGGTGTCCAAATCACTTCACCTGTTGTTCTGTGATGACTTGTAAGACTGGTTTTATTCCTAGCATTTGTCTGATTTCATATTCTGCCTTTCCTTAAAACTCCTGCAGCTTTTCTAAGGCATCTCATCTATGTTATCTCAATTTTACGTTCACTGAAGGATGTAAGCGTTCACGTTAAGCATTGATAGCATAGTGTTGAAAAAAAAAAAAAAACAGTTTTGATAAGATACACTTTAGTACTCCGGTGTATCTGCTTGTGTGTCAACAGGGAAGATAGCTGCCCCATTACTATTAGTTTTAGCACATCTCGAGCTAATTTCTCTGTCCAGTTTTCCGTCGGATGTGAGAATTGCTACCAAATACTTAAATTCCTGTTTGTCTTAAGGTGTTTTTTTAAATTTCTAAATTGTCTTTCTGTCTTCATATCACCATTGTCTCTGTCTTCGTAGTGTTTATTTTCATATTATATTCCTCCCCTTTGTTACTAATTTCATTTATGTGGTTCTAAGGCATTCCTAACTTTTTGCTATGAGTACCTGTTGTCGGCGAAAAGTAATTCTGCGTTATCTTCTTCATGATTAAAGTTTTGTTCCCTTACATATGGTATCTATGTATGTTATAAAAAGAAGTAGCGACAGTACAGTCCTGACACACACCAGAGTTCACTGTAAAAGTTCTTGACAATCCAGCCTTTGATCTTAGGCCGCCTTTACTACCTGTGTACAGGTTTTTGCATATATTAATGAGATGATTGCCGCTTTCCTTTTTCCCCATACATTCCCACAACATATTTCTGTCAACTCTATTAAAGGCTTTTTCCTGGTCTATGAATGTTAACAAACATGTCTTATTGTGCTCTATTGCTCTCTATGATAGCTGTCTCAATGTATATATGCATCTGTACAACTTCTGTTTCGTTGAAAACCCATATGATATGTGCTTCTGAAAATTGATACTCTATCAATGGTCTTAGCCTTCTTTCGATGATATAAGCATACATTTTCCCAGTGTAACTGAGAAGCGATATTCCTTTGTAATTAGTACAGTCCCTCTTTTTACTTCTTTTATTTTTCCACAGCGGGAAAATTTTGTTCCTAGGGCAACCTCTTATAATTTCAGGCTCTCCTTCGATCTTCGCTCCCACATTATCGCGACCAAACAAATACCCTAAAAGGGCCTCAGTCCTATGCAAAATGCGGAGTTCCTGCAGAGGAACAAATCATGGCAAAAACTAGGATCGGCTCCGAATAACGAAACAAATGCTCTAACAGGGTCTCAGTAATATGTTAATTGTGGCCCTGTTTCTGCGACTATGCCACACCACCGACAGTATTCCCTCGCGCCGCTGGGCGAATGGGGGGACTCACCAACAGTAGCTACAGCATCTCCTGCAACTTTCTCCAATTTATTTGCTTGTGAGTCCCAGGCATCTAGTTTAGATCCCTATCCTTGCCGCGCTAAGCGGCGTGTGGGATATGCTTGTCGGTCAGTTTAGTTGAAAGAACACTATCACTAGTCTGCGTCGGAGCGCTTGGTTTCCCCACCATGTCACGTCGCTATTATAGTCTATAATGTTGCGTGTTTCGCAATTGTCAATAGTCGCTATTATCGTCTGAAGAAACGCTGGAAATTGTCAACGGTCGCTATTCCTCTGCAGTGTTGCATGTCGTGAAATTGTCAAGTAATCCTAGTTTTGATATTAATGTCTTGTGTAGCATCTGCGTTGGCCCGTTGGCGTAGTTGTTTGTTCTGGTTGCATTTTTATTTTTAGATGACCAAACTATTTGATCTTTTGTGTCTTTAATGAATCTGCTGCATGGTGTTGTTTCTACAGACTGTGTGATAATATAATTTCTAACTTTGTCTCGGATGGTTATGTTAAGTTGGCGGCTGCTTTTCTCAAGCATCTTTCATCTTATGATTTTAAACTTAAACTTAAATATTTCACAGGTCTTACTACTAGTACTACTACTGTTAAGTGTTAGTGCATAGGTTAGTTAGCCTTTGATAATGTCCAAATCGGGCACTGGTAAAACAGTTTTAACTAATCCCAATTTCTTAATTAATGGGGGGGGGGGGGGAGCAATGACAAAAACATATTAACTTACTGTTTGTGGCGGCTGCATGTTGACCACTAGAAAAACCCAACAAGAAAACACGACGTCCAGTATCTCTGCGAAACTCAACACAAGCACAACACAACCTCACCAATACTTCCGGCAGCGCCAACCGGCTGCGCATCAACTGTGACCTACTTTTAAGTTGCAAGAAACCACGACGCCATTTTCCACATTTGAACTACCCTGGATTCTTGTAAACTTCACTGACAGGTTTCACCAGGTTGTTTTCATATATCCTGTACTTTGTTGTGTGCTAGAAGCATGTTTAACTTGTTTATTTACTTGTGAAAGCGTGTAAGAAACGAGTCGATAGCTTGTAAATACCAATATGGACTGTGATTGGCGAACAGGATACTTTGTTCTCATTGGTGGGACAGTCGAGGAGACCGTAGACGATTGGATTAGTTTGATGTTTTGTCTCCTGGAGCTGACCAATTTGTGGCTTCACCAACATTATGTTAGATCATAGTTGGTCACTCTTGACCTACCATATCTGTTTAAACACGGTAGCTCGTGCCTTTAACTGGGATTACGCCAGAGATTATAATCTTCCTGGACCCAAACTACAGCATAAAAACCACCATGACAGCACTGAACGTGATTTTCAGAAAATTCCCTCGTAAAGAAAAATGGAAAGGCCAGCTCTTTACCCATGTAGAAATCTTCTAGTATTTAGTTAAAAACTTAAGACCAGCGGCTGGTTAGTGACATAATTCATGTACCTAATCGTTTCCCTGAAATAGTGAAATACAAACAAATTGAGCTCTGGAGTATCACACCTAGTTAGTTAGTTAGTTAGTTGGGTTATCCTCATTGCACTCCGGACATGTCCATAGGTGCTCAGATCCTCCCCTCAGTATGAACCCCAACGTCCTATGGCTAATAGTACCAGTTCTATGTTGATTAACAAGTCTTCTGGCGTAGCTGGTGTGCGTCTCGTTTTTTGCTGTGCCGATCTTAATTCCCAAGTCTGCCATTCTGGCGAGTGATGTGGATTCACTGCCACCAAAGTCGTCTATCCTTCCCATTTCTCTGAGGGCATTGATAATATCAGCATGATCCATAGGCTGACCGTCGGTAGTGATAGCGGATCCAGCCAACCTGTCAGCTCTTTCATTTCCATCGACGCCTGCGTGTCCCGGAACAAAAATAAAGGTGACTCCACGGACAGTGGACTTCTGTAATGATTCAAGCCATTGTCTTCGCACTGAACCTGCCTGAACCCTCCGGATCATACTCATTGAATCACTGAGTATACACACGCGGGTGTATTTTTGTGTCACTGCCATCACCTCCATCGTCATGCTGCTGGTTGTCATGGAGAAGGCGCCGTTGGCTTCTTTGACTGTTCTGCCCGCTGAGCGTGCTGTAAATGCCCATGCGCTTCTTCTTTGGCGTATAACGGATCCGTCTGTATCACACCTAGTATGTCAACTTACATTAATGAGAGTCTGCTGACTTTGTTATGAAAATATAAAGTGAAAGCCATCTGTCTTTGCCTCTCCTTTAAATAACAATCGCTAGCTGGAAAGCCGAGGGTCGCTTAGTGGCAGTGCAAATACTGACAAAAGTGAGAACGAAACAAATAACATACTTATACCTATCATCATACAGTTGTGTAGGGTTAGGGTAGGGTTAGATGTGAAAATTGTGACACAGGAGTTCCACATAATGGCCAACATTCTGATGCTTGTGGGAGTGGCGCCACTGGAGTTCTCCTAAATATGACAGCAATAGCGCGCGGCTGGTGCCAAATTGATGGCGAATTGTCCGTGTGAGTAGCATCCACAGTCCTTCAGTTATTTGGGTGTGTATGTCACTGTGCGCGATTAGTTGGAACTCCTGCATCAAAATTGTCACATCTAACCCTACACCTAACCACGCAAATTTATCTGTCATTACGGCACACAGATCTGCAGGAGTCACATCCGTGGCAACTAATAGCACCATTATATACGGATATAATTACTTAAAAAAACAACCCAGATATCCCCGAGGAGTCAAATAAAAACCCAGATCTGGGGGACACACACAAGCATTAGCAACACTGATGTCGACCTCACTGTCTGTTTTGATTCGTGACTTGTCCGCTCCATATTTGCAATGCAGCCAAGGGAGTGAACTCCCACTAAGCGACCATCGGCTTTCTAGCTAGCGATCGGTATTTAAAGGAGAGCCCTGTCTTTTCCCCTCTATTGTAGCCATCTATATTTCCTTGAATTGTTTGCTTTTTTCTGAATGAAGCCTCCAAGGGTCAGATCTAGTTGTCTAGATCAGACAGTATGTGTGAGTCACATGGTATCAACCTTCTGCCCTTAGTTGAAGTTGCTAAATAAAAAAAAAGGCTCTCCTCCAAACTTCATCCCCATATTATGGCGACCAAACAAATACCCTAACAGGGCCTCATTCATGTGTAAAATGCAGAGTGGCTGCCGAGGAACAAATCGTGGCAAAACTAGGATTGCCTCTGAATAACGGGCCAATATTATTGAGGGCAAACAAATACTTTAACAAAAACAGGGTCTCAGGGATATGTTAATTGCGGACCTGTTTCTGCGACTATGCTGCACTGCTGACAGCATCCCCCGCTATGCGCTCTATATTGTCTTAAACTGAGCTGACAGGGATCTCTAAGTTGGTGGCGCCCATAGCTGCTATGCCCATAAAACCTCTGGCTCTTGTCAGCCCACTCCTAATCACATGGGTGATAACATACATGGATCATTTATTTGAAACAAGTGAAATATGCTGGCTGAGTACCCTACTGTATGACAAACTTTGGTTCAAACATCTCTCAACCGAGACTCTTATTGCATGGCTGCTTCAGGTCAGCTGTCCATCTATCGAGTGTTCTGTTGCATGACAAGAGTTTCAGGTGTCCCTAGCTCAAAAGTTATCTTTTATGTCAGATGTCTGCCACCAATGGCCTCATTTATCAGTGTTGTGACCGTACTTGAATGCCCATGCTCTGCCCCCATCTTTCCTTGAGGGTTGACCAAGCTACATGCAACTGTCCTGTAAAGGTGGGTCTTGTAGGGTCAGCACCTGTGAGTTGGGCTATGACAAAATCACCATACATACATTTGAGGCTACAAATGTCCCACAAAACTAACCAGAAGGGCTGGCCCGGATAATAATTGCTTGAAGAAGTCAGATATGTTAGCAGAAACGTGCAAAATCACAGCTATGCTGTGAACACACCACACATTTGCGTCACTGATGAATAATGACGAAAAAGAAGAATATCCGTACTCCCTATTTGTGTTGGAAAAAAAATAGACCCTCTGCCCATAACAAGAATATCATGAAAGACAACTTATAAAGGCTTTGCCAAAATTAAATATGTTTGAAAAACACATATTACAGCCAAGGTGTAAACCACGACAGTCTTTCAGTCTCTGATATTCAGACAAAATGTTTATGTTTTTCAAACTAAATATGTCTTTTGAAGTAAAGATGTATACTTTTCTTTAGAAAATAACTGATTAAATAATTTATGAATTTGAATCAGAACACAATGTATTGTACATGTATGTATTCATTACCAGGCACATTTCACTATGTCCCACAACCCCACCTTCGTGCTTGTCACCCACTATCTCTCTTACATAGTGCCATCCCCTCCTTTACTGTTATTTCCAAGCATGTAAGTGGGCACAAGAGACACCTTAGGCAGCAAAGCGCATGAGGTGGAAAAGCTGGCGAGGAACCAAGTTTGTTTCAGGTGGGATGTGATGGGAGCGACATTCTGTAAAGGTCTTACCACATGATGATGGTGACTAGCACAATTTAAAAAAAAAAAACCAATCATCTATTCACCAAAATATTTTGGCCTTATCAAGTGCCATGATGGAATGGAAACAGATTAAAGTAAAAGGCATGATTTGAATAAAGGGGGCGCCGGGGCCCACCAACATGAAGATGGGCACAGATATAAGTGACACATTGGGTGGGAAATTGTAGAAGACAAGAGGGCTGGTCAGAGACTGAGGCAAACAGTAATGATAGTGACATTCTTCCAAGGACCTGCTACATATTGATGATAAACAGGTAATGTTGTTAGCATCATGCTTGGTGCCCTTACTGTGGTTATATTTTTCTTGGTGCGCTATTTAGACTGGTTAATAGTTCTTTCTCTCCTGTGTGAATTTGTACCAATGATCACTGGCCTGGCAGACAAGTGACCAGTTGTCATCATCATATGGCAGAGCTTTGCAGAGATGTTTCTCTAACTCTTTTATGACCACATCTTTTCTGGGGTTTGGACAGCATTATAATATTACTGCGACACAACCTTCCTGATGAAAAAGTATTAGCCGTATAGAGACATAATATATCAAATTAAAGAAAAATGAGTGCAGAATAAATCTAAACTGTTTAAGTTTTAGTATTACAACAAAATGTTTTTAAAACTACACTTTATTGAATGAAATTAGACACATATGAAGATTATTGACCCCCCCCCCCCCCCCCCCCCCCCCCCCCCCCCCCCCCCCCAAAAAAAAAAAAAATTTGTATGTTTACCTTACTTTTTACTTGTTCAACACTGCTGTCCAGTTCTAACAATTCACATGCCTTCTCTGTTGAATTATGTATCAGCTAGTCTTTATTTATTTAATTACTTTAGATATTATGACCATTTTTGTATGGCATGTCAGATTCACAACCAAAATCAGGAAAACAGATGATCGAAACAGATGAATTGACTGAAATATTTCCTTCAGCCTCATTCTAACCAATATTTTTGCAAATAGGTTTATCACCTGCATTATCAATTATATATCTAGACTATTGTAACTATCTGGCTGAGATTCATCAATGACAGAGCAGTATGAACAGTTCTAGACCGTTTCCCGTATCATTTTGTATAGAAAAATTTTTGTCACATCTAAATAATTTTTTGAACATCAGAAAATGATGCAAACATCATGCTGATTTTCAAAAACAAAGGACATCATTTTTCTAATTTTAGTTTTTCAAAACATGTTCATACAAATTTGTTTTCCCTGCAAACGAAACGATATTAAGGTGTCTCTGGCAAACGCCACTTTAACTGTGATTAGTCCTAGCAGGATTTATTCAAATGCCTTTTAAGTGGCAATTAGTCCACAAAGAGCTAATCACACCATGCCTAAAAGCCACTAGATCTCCTGCCACTGTGTTGCATTATAAACTTAGTTTGTCCTCGATATCCCATGTCCACCTTAATGCTAATCAATCTCTGCATCTTCTCCAAGAAATCATACCCTTCAGTGAGGTTTTGAACAACAGAACAATATCATGGCACACAGGTAGTAATCTATCTATAAGTGCTGCGCTCTTCTTTTAACTCGAGATTGAGTCCGGAAAAGCTCAGCACAGTGCACAAGCTCTGTAGCACCGGCGAGAATCCTGAAATACTTTGTGTAGATTTTCAACTTCAAATTCTGCCCAGGCAGCGCCATTAGGCTATTCTTTTTGATTTCCAACTGCCAAGGGATCTTTTACGTGCGCAAAAATTCACACGGGCGTCCGATCTCCCTACCCACAGATCAGGGGGAATTACTAGAAGTCCAAGTCCACCTGAAAATATCTTAGCCCTTACTGGGGATTGAACCCGGAACCTCTAGCACTCCTGGTATGGGTTTAGGGGCCCCATTTTGGGGGAAAAGAATAAACCCACCCGCCCTCTAAAAATCATGCTATAAAAGGTGATTAATTAGGGGTGTTTCCTTCAAAGTCAGAGTACACCTGCCTGAGAAACGAGGAACCAAAAGACAGATATACACGCAGAACCAATCAGACGTTGTTGGATCATATTTCAACATCACGCCTACCACCTATACTTCCTGGGACTTTATACTTGGTACGCATTTAAGGCTGACCTGAAAAAAATCCGGCTTCATGTGGATTTGTACCCATAACCTTATAATCCGCAGGTGAGTGTCTAGCTGCTACACAGCGGCTTCCAGACTGTTTATTAGTGATCAATAGAATGTTCAAAATTTAACTGTTTTTGTTTTGCACCCTTTTCAGATTGACATCTGTTAACGACAGACACCATGTCGAATGATCCTAGCTTTGGTCTTCAAAGTGGAATTTCTGAGCAAGCTCAGCAGATGTTGGCAAACTTTTGGCCAGGTGTTATTGATAATATCAAAAATTTGAACACTGTAAGTATGATATAAAGTTATTTTGCAGATCCTTGTACATTATTTTGCAGAGCAACAGAGCAGCTAGACGCTTGCCTGCTGATCGGAAGGTCATGGGTTCGGATCCATGTCGACTTAGCCTTGAGTGAGTACAGTCCTAGAAGTAAAGGCGGGTGGCGTGATGCTGACCACACCACCCACCAAGTGCAGTTTGGTCTATAAATTATAGGTTTAGCCCTATATACCCAATATGCCTGAAGGTGTGGAAAAGGGTCCTTAACTTTACTATTCCTATCTCCTAAACCACAGACACAAGTATAATAGTCAAATTATTGGATTCAGTTGCAGATATTCTTTTCAATTTATGTTGCTTCCCATGTCGGTTCCTGGTTTCCATTGTGGGAAAAACAAGAATAGACCCACTGCCTTGCCCAAAAGCGTATTGTAAGAGTTGACTTGATTTGGAGCTTCCTTTAAAGTCAGAGTACATCTGCCTAAGAGGCAAGGAACCTACCTCCAGTAGGCCAGCATTGCATGACAGTTATATTACTGAGTTAACCTGGCCTTGTAAAATCATTTTAAGAGTTAACAGAAAAGTAAAAGCGTGGAGTTGCTTTTGTGTTACTGGGACCTGTAGACAATGCTAAGAATAGTAGGGCTATTACCTTTTATACATGCCACAAAGGTGACTAAGGAGGGTTAGCATAGGCAATTCGATAACGTCCTAACGTCCTTTTCAGTGAGCAGCAAAGAGAGAATGCTGTGTTGTCAGTTCTTAACTCAACTCCATCATGTCCTAGGATAGTGGTTCCCAAGTGTTAGTCTGAGTATCCCTTTTTTTCTTTCGATTTTAATATCTACTCTTTTAAAAAAAAACACGTTGCGACTTAATAAGTATCTTCCCTTTGTTTTTGGGCACTTTGAATGGAAAACAAGAATAGACCCTCCGCCTATCCAAAAGCATGTCGTAAGAGTCCACTAATTGGGAACTTCCTTCTAAGTCAGAGTGCATCTACCTGAGAGGCAAGGAACAACAGTCTGCATACAAATCAGTCTGATCTGTAAAACAGATGTGCACACCAACCTCAGGTTCTGAAACTTAACTAGAGTCCAGAAGTGGTTGAACCACCAGAACTTTTCACTGGAATTTACAGCCGGGTAACACAGAGAAGAAGAAATAAGTATTGGGTCATTGACAGACCTTTCGGAATAAAAGGGTTAACCTAGAATATCTGACCTAACTCAAGTTTTTTTTTCTCTGGTGGTATGCAACATGTCATATACCGCTCCTGTCGAGTGCCTGATTTAAGGATTTCTCTGGTGGTATGCAACATGTCATACCGCTCCTGTCGAGTGCCTGATTTAAGGATTTCTCTGGTGGTATGCAACATGTCATATACCGCTCCTGTCGAGTGCCTGATTTAAGGATTTCTCTGGTGGTATGCAACATGTCACATACCGCTCGTGTCGAGTGCCTGATTTAAGGATTTCTCTGGTGGTATGCAACATGTCACATACCGCTCGTGTCGAGTGCCTGATTTAAGGATTTCTCTGGTGGTATGCAACATGTCACATACCGCTCGTGTCGAGTGCCTGATTTAAGGATTTCTCTGGTGGTGTGCAACATGTCACATACAGCTCCTGTCGAGTGCCTGATTTAAGGATTTCTCTGGTGGTATGCAACATGTCACATACCGCTCGTGTCGAGTGCCTGATTTAAGGATTTCTCTGGTGGTATGCAACATGTCACATACCGCTCGTGTCGAGTGCCTGATTTAAGGATTTCTCCTTAAGAACCAACAGCACTCTGAAATAAATAATGTTGAGGCGTCGGCTTGTATTGGTCTAAGGGATATCCCGTGGCCAATATACGCTCAACTTATTTCAGGAGTAGGGCAACTCAAGTTATGGCACTACAGAATATATAATAATCCTAGGCGCAACTTGGCTGGACAACCCCACTACTATAAACAGATAGCTCCCAGGCTATGATAGTATACTATCACAGCCATGTTACCACAGATTACACTTACTAATCACATAAACATAAAAGCTAGACAGTTTGAACAGTGAATCATGGACACTCAAGTCAACAATGAAACTTTTTGAACATGTAATAAATGCAACACATACATTATATAAGAATCAGCAAAGAACTTCAAGAACCCAGAGGGATATGAAGGAACAAAACTTCAAACCCGATCTGACTGAACGTGTGAGAGGTTCCCAACATCAGGATCATGTGGGCAATTAACAGTGAAGCCTGGCAATAAACCAACGATTGACCACACTTATCTGAATCCCTGGTTTCTTGAACTTGCTGGATGTTCAGTCACTCTGTTGTTACATTGAAGACAGTCCAACACTAGACACTCGAACACTGGAGATACACCCAAGCTCCTGGAGAGGATCTCGGGTACAAAGTCAGTCACTTGAGGCACAAACAAGCTTCTGGATAAATGATGGTGAAGGTACAAAATCCATAATGTTGTCTGTAGATCAGCTGAAGGATTTCAATTAATTGATGACAAAAGTTTGGTTTACAATCTGATGCCCACCATTTGCTTAGACATAGGTGACTTCCTTGTAGGTGGTTTTGTGGACCGCCGATTCACTGCCTGGCCTCCAAGGAGATATCATCCTGTATTAAGAAGGAACGCAGAATTAGCTGTCATCTCAGGGGTTACATGTCAAGTTCAGTTTATTAACATCCACATTAGTAATCATTCAGAGGACAGCTCTCAGGATAATGAGACAGTATAAGTCTCTAAATATCATCTCTGTTGTTCAGTCAGTAACAGGGACAGGAGGCGAGTACCAGAGTGGAGACAGATAGACTCTCTCAAACATACAAACTCTCCTCGCCCACCTCTGCACTTGTAGATATACATCCCATCTCTCTCTCACATATATATTTTATACCTCCACAATCTGCCCACTTTACACACTGTGTCGTTGTGCTAAAATTAACCTCTGACGTCACAGCGTCTAGCTGGCCGACGTGCGACCCAGTTAAATATGTCTGCTAATCGATACACTCTCTGTTGGCTGGTTAGAGAATAATTAACTTGCTGGGTTTAATATCTTTATGATGGTGTGGGTCAGGTAGGACACAAACTATCAGCCTGCGAAGGGAAAAGTTTGATTTCAGGGGCTTGCGTGTCTGGACACCAAGAACGGTCCAGTTCTGTGCGGTCACACAGCTGAATCTTTCCTCCCTGCAGCAACGGCTAACTTTAAAGAGACAGATTTCATGGTACTCATAAACTATAATCAACTTACCCAAGCTTAGGAAATGTTCTAGACACCAAAGACCGCCTCCTCAAAGCATAGATATACGAGGCACATTTAAGAACATCTGTTCTTCTTGGCAGTCAGACAGAGAATGACCCGGTAGGCTGGCGTCCTTTAAAAAAAAAGTAGCCCGCGATATTAATGCCTCGAGGAGTAAAAAGGCCTCCATGAATTCTGAATATTATTCCAGAAAATATCTATCCCACAGTTGCAAGTTTGAAAATGTAGACTTTTCAAAACAACTAGAGGGTATAGAAAAATCTATTCCACAAGATAAAGGTATATATCAATATGAGGGACTATATACCCACCGGACGGGTTTAAATTTGAAATTGTGACCTGCCCGCTAGGGGTGTCAACGTCACGAATAGTTTACTGTGTAGGGTGGGGTGATTCACTCAGTGACACAACAGTACACAGTACTTGCACCCTTTTCAGGCCTTATGTTTTCAGTGCTATTGCAATAGATGCTTTGAAGTGAGTGCCAGCACCGTTTTTTTATAGTCACTTTATCATGAGTACTAGCACCACTTTCCTTAAGAAAAAGGCATGAGCCAAATACTTCTCATCCCAAAGGCAGTTACTACTATGGGACCACATCCTTCCTTTAACCCATTTAAAGAAACTTTACGTTAACATTTGGAAACTTTAAAGTGCACTTGTTTTATATAATTGTTCTTCAACAAATCAAAACAGAATGAATACAAAAGTCAAGAACTTCCTCTGGCAAGAATAAAGAAGATAATGAAGTTGGATGAAGATGTAAAGGTATATATATTTGTTCTTTCTGTGTTTTATGAAAAATATCACTGTAGAAACTTAGAAGCATGTTTTATTATTTAATTCAGAAAATTGGCATCGTGCTCTGAAAGTATTATCTGAACCATTACACAGAGGAAACAAGAAAATATATTGGAAATATTCCATTGAAATAAAGCGTTAAAATGTTATCAGAAGGAATACATAAAAATATTATGGCAGAATTAATTTGTATGAACATTTTAGATGTCTGTAATTTCAGTAAGGCCTGTTGTAGTTTTACTAACTGTAACTGTAGAATTATAATCAATCATTGTAAATCATTCTGTATCTAGTAGTGCACTTTTGGAAGCTATAATAGCATAGCGGCCAGACACTCACTTGCTGACCAAAGGTCTTGGGTTCAAATCCAAATTGAGAAGGACCCCCCCCCCCCCCCCCCCCCCCCCCCCCCACTTCCCCAGAAATGACTGGCTGCCAGGTCGACCCAGCATGACATAGGTATCAAGTAAATTAGTGGCTGGCCAACATGATGTTGACCACATTACCCATCAAGTGTTGATTAGTCTACAAAAATATGTGTCCAGCATCATGTGCCTGATACGCCAGTGACATGACCAAGGTCTTCCTTGCACATTTAGCTTATTACCTAACCCAATAAATCGTCATCTGTCAGCCAGTTGTTGCTTTCTGTGTCATTTTGTGCCTTTTTCTTGAAGATTCTAATTTGGTATATCCACTTATGTGTTGCAGTAATCCAAAAATTATGTTATATAGATATTTTTTTTAAATTATGGAAAAGCAGTTTCACGCTTTTTAAAGTTCTGTTATTGGAAATAACAGTGATGGCGGGTGGTATATATTCAGTTAGCAAGAACAGTTAGAGCTTGGCTGTAATAGCTGGTACCCACACACTACATATTATTAAAAAAAATCGGCATATAAATAACAAATTTATTTTAGTTCAAATTGTCCCAAAGACCTCTATATTAAATGTTATCAATTTGTCACATATGTATAGTATTCCCTGTACGGATTGGGGTGGGGGGTAAAAAGAGTTACTGCTCCTGAACACGCATGTCGTAAACATTGACTAATTAGGAGTTTGCTGAAATCGGATGTCTTGGGCCAAAAAGCATAGATATCAAAGCCTAGTTTTAAACCACAGTATAACATGCCAGCTGCCGTTTTAAGGACAGAGGTAAAAGAAGATGAATGTATATAGTATAGGTACTCAGTTTCTTGATGAATTTTCACTTACTGAATCTCAAATTCTCTAGATGATCAGTGCAGAAGCTCCTGTTTTGTTTGCCAAAGCTGCAGAAATTTTTATCCGTGAGTTGTCCTTGAGGGCGTGGATTCACACAGAGGACAATAAACGTAGAACTTTACAGGTATGTCAACTCCGTTGTTTTGTGATTAAGGGCAGGGAACAGTTCAGTTCATTCCCATGTGGGTTCCAGGGCCCCATTTTGGGGGAAAACAAGCATGTTGTAGGAGTCGACTAACTCGGGGCTTCCTTTAATGTTAGAGTGCATATGCCTGAGAGGCAAGGAACCTACAGTCTGCATACAGATAATTCAGATGTGTTAAACTGATGTGCACACAACACGCAGGTTCTGGAACAAGACTAAAGTCTGGAGATGGACGAATATCCAGAACTTTCTGCTGGAGTTTACAGCCACTGATCCCAAAGAAGAAAATAAGAGGAGTTTAGTTCATTAAGTTAACTCACGAATAAAAGAAGCCTTAATGTTTTCGGTTAGTCTTTCAAATGTGTCTACAATCTGTTAGGAGCAAGCTGCCTATATGATTCCTTGAGGCTGATTATATATGTTTTTTTAAAGTTGGTAAAGGACCCTGTTCGTGTCAGTGGGATTGATGCTAGGCTCAGTTTACGTGGCAGCTGGGTGACGAACTCCTTGTGGTCTGGATTCATGCCTGGGAGTAGGCAGAAAAGCCACATTTCTCCCAGATTTTCGGTATCTATCATGGAAACTCATGGTTTCTGGATATAAAAAAAAAAAAAAACAGCCAGGGAATGCTAAGAAGAAGATATTCATGCTCACATTAAAGCCTTTAAATTCATTTTGTGACCATGTCTGCAGATGTCTTTGCAGTTTCATCTATATTAATTGTAGTGCAAAAAGTAAATGCTGAGAGAGAGAGATAGACAGTAGGGGGTAGGAAGAAATAGTTTTAACAGATACATTTCTATTATTCACCCTGGATTTTTCTGTGTCACCATTTATCATTACACTTCAACTTACTCACAATATGTTTGTCTTGGTTCACACTATCTAGTAAGATGTATTGAATCATGGGAGTATATTTGTCATATCCAAAGAACTTGAAAAAAAATATTTGCATGCTATATTATGACTAAGACAGCTTTAATATTTGTTAGTTTAGCTTCTAAACCTGACAACAGCTACTAGTTGTAATTAAAATTATTCAGTTTAGTAATATTTTAATTTTCTTCCATGTCCAGCGGAATGATATTGCAATGGCAATCTCCAAATTTGACCAGTTTGATTTCCTGATTGATATTGTGCCTAGAGAGGAATTGAAGCCCAACAAGCGTCAGGTAACTTCAATGTTTGTGTAATCAGTATGCTAATTAAGCTGCAGGATCTAGGACCAAGCAGTAAAAGGCTTCATTAAAGAGTTATGTTATTAAAATTGGGCATTCCCATGCGTGCTCAATCTTCCGACACAGCAGCCACTCCAAGGTATATCTGTTAATTGTTCCCGTGAGAGGTTGGTTATAATGTCTCCTATCTCAGTCTCGAAGGCGGCATAGGCATGCTTTACTCCAGTGTCACGCAATGGTGTTAGTGTCAGAGATTCATTTTTATCCACTTGCCCAGTCGATTCAGCGCTGATGATATTTGCTCTGTCCATGCTTCTTCCAACATGGTGCATTGCTTGCCATTTGGTCCGCTCGTTTATTACCCTTTTGATCAGCATGACCAGAGTGGGCTGCAGAGGGGCCGAACCACACGAGATGGTGCATTAGGATCATGACTCATTCTTGGCCGACCTAACTACACCTCTCTGCAGTCATCCTAGAAACAGGTTTCTAACTGGAGACCTGGTCAGCTTAAACAGCATTTATGTTTCCTCAGAAGTCAGAGTGCAAAGAGAGGCACAGAACCAGTAATCTCCACACAGATACACCAGATTTGTAAAATGGTTCTGCACACATCACTCAGCTACTGGAACAATATATAACTGGAGACCTGGTCAGCTTAAACAGCATTTATGTTTCCTCAGAAGTCAGAGTGCAAAGAGAGGCACAGAACCAGTAATCTCCACACAGATACACCAGATTTGTAAAATGGTTCTGCACACAGCACTCAGCTCCTGGAACAATATAGAAAACAACCAGAATGTTACTGCCAGTGAACGTGACAAAGAAGAAATGAAAGAGCAACAGACGATAAAAGAGTTCCCCAGTACCAACTAATACCAAGAGCGCTGAAGAAAAAAGATGATTACAGAAATAGGCAGACTAGGCAGAAGATGGAGCACAGTTAGATGGTTGCGTATCCTTTACAGGACGTTGCAGAACCAACCCCAACAGACCCTGGCTGTTGGGTGGTTTTTCTAGGAAAATTTACGTCCAGTAGTTTGCCATTGCTTTCTGGACGGTTGGCTTTCTTGATACCACTGTCAAAACCAGTGCAAGGCGCATGGCCCGCAGCTGGGATTGAAACCGGCATCCCGGCATTACGAAGCGTTCGCATCCACTTAGCCACAGAGCAAGGATAAATGAGTTATGGTAAATTAGTTTATTGTATGTACACAGCAAAACTGACAGACAGAATTGAAAAAAAAAACACCCCTAAGGGTCCATCTTGATGAATTACTACACATGTTTTTGTTTCTCTGATCCTAGGATGATCTTAACAGAGCGGGAAATTCCCTGCCAGAACAAATACAGTATTATTTACAGCTGGCTCAGCAGCATTCCCAGCAGTCTCAACAGTCCCAAGCACAGCAGCCTCAGCAGCAGCAGCAACAGGTTGGTAGGGGAACTCCTGCATTGAGTTTTTAATCACATTTTTTCTTGTTTTCTAATATTATTTTTATGGCCTGTCTTTTGTTTGTTTCATTTGTACAAGAGCATAAATGCTATGATTAATGCTTCTTCTGCATTCAATCTTAGGGGGCAGTTGGGAAATAGTGTTGTGGTTTACAGCTTTTATTACACATTTGGGAATAATTCTTTTCTTTGATACCGTTATTTCTGTCTTTCCATTATTCAAACTGAGACCCATTCTTCCACTTTCCAACACCACAATGTCTATCATTTCCTGTAGTTCTTTCTGACTTGTTACTATCAAGACTGTGTCATCAGCATAACATAAATTGTTTATATTATGCCCACCAACCACAATTCCGGGCATATCAATTAAAGATCTCATCATATATTCACTGTGTAGTGAAAATAGATCAGGTGACAGTACACATCCTTGTTGTACACCCCTCCTTATGCACTGAAATGTACCTAAACTGTTGTTAATTCTCATAGCGCTTGTTTGTTGCCTATACATATTCTTTATTATTCGTAGATTTTTTCCATCAATGTTTAATTTTTCTAATAGTTTGATAACTTCTTCATGTTTCACACAGTCAAAAGCTTTTGTTTAGTCTATGAAGCATAAGAACAAATCAGTCTTTACTTCTTTAGCTCTTTCTGACAATACATATACTGTGTGAGTAAATTACTGTATATAAGGTAATGCAGTAAATACATTGGGAAAAATTAAACAACCAGTACGAAGTTAAGTATTTGCTTTCACTTTTGGTTTCTTTCCTTCTGTATTATGTTATTTCCTTCCGTATTATGTTTCTTTCCTTCTGTATTATGTTTCTTTCCTTCTGTATTATGTTTCTTTCCTTCTGTATTATGTTTCTTTCCTTCTGTATTATGTTTCTTTCCTTCTGTATTATGTTTCTTTCCTTCTGTATTATGTTTCTTTCCTTCTGTATTATGTTTCTTTCCTTCTGTATTATAACCTGCATATCAGGTTATTGATTGTTAAATGTCCTCAGCATTCTTAAGTCTTGCAAGAGATCAGTGCAATACCAAAGTTCAGATTGTTAAAACGTTTCTTAACCCAAATTATGTAATGAAAGTCAAGGACAGTACTTCAGTTAAATAAACAAATGTCAGGCTTCTTTTGACATTTATGTCAAAATTCTTTAACTGTAATTACTCAACATAAGCAGCAAATCTGCGGAAGGACTCCTTACTGTGTGGTGCATTTACAAGGAGGTTAATAACTGTCATTTAGCATGTTCTCTAATTCCCTTTCAAGCTCTTTTTTAGCGTTTCTTTCAAGCTCTTGTTCAGTGCCAATGTGCCGGCATACACCTCTCAAACTACATAAACAGCCATTAATTTTTAAGTCACAGAACTAGCATGTGCTACAGTCATCCACAAATCTCTGTTACATTTTGTGTTCAGAAATAAAAATGAATGTTTCATTAAATAAGTTCCCTGTGTGAGTTCCGGGGCCCCATTGTGGGGAAAACAAGAATAGACCAACTGCCTAGCCAAAAAGCATGAGAGTCGACTAATTGGGAGGTTCCTTCGAAGGAGCAGTGCATCTGCCTGAGCGGCAAGGAACTAACTGCACACAAATAAGCCTTTAAAACAGATGTACACGCAGAAACTCAGGCCCTGGCACAAAGCCAAAGTCAAAATGGCAGAATAACCAGGATTTTCCCCCAGAGCTCACAGCTGGTGAACAAAGAAGAAGAAAAAGAATATGTTTTTTAAATGCTATCTGGGATGCAAGTAATATTTTATAATTTCAGACCCAGGTCACTCAAGTGACATCAGCATTGCAGCAAATACAACAGTCAGCAATTCAACAGCCAACAACTGTAGCCACAGCTGGTCAGAACACAGGTGTACAGTTAACAGGTCAGTAGATCAGCAGATATAGCTGTTGCTTTCCCAAAAATACTGAGCTGTTTAGCTCATGTATCGTTCCTATAAAGGTCATTTTAAAAGTGTACAGTAAACAGGTCAGTAGATAGCTGTTGCTATCCTAAAGCTGCTGAGTTGTTAACTCTGTAAGCCACCATGTTTTGTTCCCATAAAGGTCATTTTAAAGGTGTACAGTAAACAGGTCAGTAGATAGCTGTTGCTATCCCAACACTACTGAGTTGTTAACTCTGTAAGCCACCATATATTGTTCCTATAAAGGTCATTTTAAAGGTGTAAATAAGCTCATTAGTAAATCAGCAGTAACTAGCAGATATAGCTGTTATATCCCACATATTTCGTCTTCTTCGCTTTCACTGATTGTAAACCCTGCCAGAAACTTTTGATTTTGTCATCCACTCCTGGATTTAGCCTTATTCTAGAACTTGAGATTTGCATGCACATCCTTATTACAGATCTGGCTTATTTGTTTGCATAATGTTTGGTTCCTTACCTCTCGGGCAAAAACATTCTGACTTTGGAGGAAACACCCATATTAGACTTTTACAATATGTTTTTCATTAGGTAAGCAGTGAGTCTATCCCCCCCCACCCCCGCAATTGAGGCTCTGAATCCACACTAGAACCTACAGCTATTGAGTTGTTTTCTTTTAGGAAGTGTATACCGAAAATTGTGGAGGGATGTGATTGCCCATGCCAGTCGGCAAAGCACTTTATGATGATGAACTGAAAATATGAAGGTGTTGGTTTATTGTTGGTGATCTGGTAAATAACTGTGAAATTTAAACAATAGTAATTAATTTCCCTAGCATCCCCCCCCCCCCACACACACACACACACAAAAAATTTGGTAACTCATTGCTGTGTAAACTTAAAGACATGCTGATCTGTTCAAAACTAACAAGGCATCACTTACATTAGAACTATAAACTGTGTGTGTTGTGTATGTCAGCTAAAAGGATTTATGTTTAGGCTTTGTTGTATACAGACCACATTCTGTGGTGTGTAGCTTATAGTACACAATGACATGTGTCAGGCAGTCAATTATGCATTCTGTTGTTTTTGTTTTCATCATTCAGGATTGAAAGTAGTTGATTGTATCAGGTAGGTGAGAAGAAATATATATTCTTCTTCTACTTTTGCTTTTAAAAGGGCAATTGGCAGTGTGTATTGTGGCTTGCAGCTAGGCTGTGACATCTGCGCCTTTTGTCCCAACACATCTGATTTCAGAAAAACATTAATTAGTCGCCTTTTATGACATGCTTATTAAGGAACAGTTAGCCTGGATCCTCCTCCTCCCTCCCCCCCCCCCCCCCCCAAAGAGGGCCCCTGCAGTCCCCATAGAGAAGAATATATATATATATATATATGCCTAATCTAGACTTTCATCACCTTCGCTTCTTGTGCTCTCTAAAAGTTGCAGGTTCATTTTACAGGCAGCATCATTCGGTTTATGAGTTAGATTTTTAGATCCATAGTTCCTGTCACTGTGGAGCTCATGCTTTCATGATGCTGTTGACAGTTGGCTGGACATGTATGGAGAAAGGCGGGAGCCGTGGGATAAAACCCGGTGCAGTTAAGTCGATCCTGTCAACTTGAGACCTTCTTATTCTGCCATTGACTTACCATCGGAGCTAGGCAATGAACCGGCTTATGTCAAGCCCTTTGTGGACTTGTTTATCATTGTCTGAATGTTGCAGTAGAAGTCTTCTGCAGGTTCTGCAGCCCAGTTAAATGGGGGGGGGGGGGGGGGGGGGGGCTGGAGAAAAATAGATCCACTGACTCTTACCAAGCATGTTGTAAAATCTGATTTAAGGTTTTGCTGAAATCGATTGTGTTGGGCTAAAAGATGCAGATGTCACAGGCTTGTTGTATGTGCTACCTGCTCTTTTGAGAGAAGAAGAACATGGGTTGAGGTAGCCAGTCCGAGACCAATTCTTCATAGTTATCTCTTTTGACTTACATGGACCCTGTGTGGGTTTCTGCTAGAATGCAGACTAGTCAAACCTCCGATCTTACTGCATTACTGGGGGGATTAATTAATGTCCATATGGGCTAAGTTCTGATTCGCCAATCTTGAATGTCTTGAACACATGGTTTGGGATCTCATTGTATCCAGCTGACATTATAAATACAACTGTTTGTTGCTTGACTATATACATTCTAAAAGACAACAAAGTTTTGACTATCATTTTTTTTCTTTTCTCCAGGTGGTCAGATCATCCAACAGCCCTTCCAGTTACAGGTCAGTATAATTAAAGTTAGTTGTGTATCCTTTACAGGACGTTTCAAAACCAACCCCATGGGCTGTTGTGGTTTTTCTAGGCCAATTTTACTTTCACCAGTTTGCCATTGCTTGCTGAACGGTCACCTCTCGGCACCCATATTGAAACCAACGCGAGACAAATAATCCGCAGCTGGAATCGAACCAAGCACCCCGGCATTACAAAGTGCTTTCGCAGGCCACAGACGGTCATATAGAGATATACATATTTTTCTTCTGTGCTGGCACTTGAAAAGGCAGCTACCACATCATGCTGCGGTTTAAAGCTAAGCTGTGATATCTGCACCTTTCAGTCTTTCTTTGAGAATAACACATGGGAGGCCTCAGACTCTTCCATTGCACGACTCTTTTCACTATTCGAAAACTATGGGATCAATAAAAAAAATAATTAATAAACCGTCTGCTGTGGAAACAGAACCCCCATTACCCATTCAGTGACCTGTAAATTACATAGCCACAAACTTTTTTTATTATTATTTAAAAAAAAAAAAGGATCATTCAGAAATGTTTAAAAAATAAACATGTTGCTGTTAGCAAAGCAAAGAAGGAAAGAGTTATCATCATCATAATCAGTTTCCACTTCTGTCATTAAGCATTGTGGGGAGGAACAGTTTGCAAACCATTGTCAGCAATGGCTGTTGTCACTCCATGTTGATGAAGAAGCTCTTTAATGTCATCATTCCCTCTTCTCCAAGGGCGGCCTCTTGATTTCACTTAAGATCTTTTTATGTGTAGCTAATGTTCATTGGTAGTTGTTCTGCATGGTTTTTTTTACCACATTCTGCCTGATAATATAATTTCTCACTTTGTCTTAGATGGTTAAGATGGCAGCTTTTCTCAGGCATCTCATTTTACAGATGTTAGAATTTTACACAGGTTAGCCTTGACAATGTCCAAAATATAATACTGCTTACAACTGAGTTTTATACTTTAAAACATAAACAAATTTTGTAACATTTTCTATTCTTCTACCCCTCTTCTTTTTCTACTTCTTCTTCCTCTTCTTCTGTCTCTTCCGTCACCTTCTTCTACTTTCCTCTCCTCCTCCTTCTTCCACATCTTCTTCTTCTTTCTCCTCTTCCTTCTCCTTCTTCTTCTGCAGTCAGAGGTTCATTGCTGCAGATGTCACCCACCTCCATAATCTCTATATGCAAGCAAGCAAGTGGAGTGGAAGGGCACAATGTTAGACAGGCCTGTGAGCCCAATTCTTAACCCTTTGGACATAAAACCCTTTTTGACCTGCCTTGTGATCTACTATTATTCAGCTCACCAGTGTACGTAGTTTTTGTCTCTCTGTCATCTGCCATGTTCTTGATATGCCCCAGCCATTTACGTCTTTTAGCCTTGATGCCAATGATCGGTGGGGATTTAAACAAATTACTAATTTTGTTGTCGCTTCTGACTTTCCATCTTTAAAGGGTCTAAAGATATATCGTAAGACTGTTGAAAACATACTTTGTATGGCTTCATCTTTTTTTTTTAGTTGTGCTCCAAGAGGAGAATAAGACAACTTGTCTTTTCAGCGTTTTTATATACTGTGTTCTTAGTGTGATGAGATAGAGTCTTTGATTTTAGCAGATGTTGTGTTGTATAAAGCATACTTTATTTCCATAATGTTTTCTAGATTGTATTTATTCTCAGAGTGATGGAGCAGTTGAAGTTTGTACCCAAGTATTTATACGTTTCTATACATTTGATTGTCATATTACTTTTTTTGTATGTGACTGGAGCAGCAATCACCCCAGCAACAGGTTATACAGATCCCACAAGTGGTTTCACAAGTTTCAAACTCAGTCCTCCAGCAATTACAACAACAACAGCAGCAGCAGCATCAGTTGCAGGTGCAAGCACAGCCTCAACAGCAGCCCCAACAGCAGCAACAGCAAACAGCACAGGTTTATCAACAGGTTATCAATGCTGCAGGACAGATTGAAAATATACCAGTGAGTCACCATACAAACACCAGTGCTTTATTTCTCTCTCCATTTCTAGCTATCTGTGTTTCTTTCTTGTTGTCCATGACTTTGTCTATGTTGTTATCTAGCTGTCTTTCTCTCTTGTCATCTGTCTGTTTATCTCTTATCCATCTGATACTGTTTCTATTTTGTTATATTTTTGTCTTGTCTTTGTTTCTATCTTGTATCTGTCTGTCTTCCGGCTCTTGCCATCTCCCTCTCTGTTTCTCTCTTGTTATCGATTTGTCTTCCTTGTCTGGTCATCTGTCTCTCAGTTTCTTGTTATCTGTCTGTCTTCCATCTGGCCATCTGTTGCTCACTTGTATGTTATCTGGTCTTACTGTCTCTGTGTGCAAGTGTATGTTTATTTATCAGAGTAAGGGAAAGAAAGGAAAATTTAATTCAAAATAGGAGATCAACTTTATTGCACTGGATGCAATCCCATTTTGCTCACTCCAGCGTTGCCTCTACACAGTGGCTCTTCACTTTCTGAGAGCATCACAAATATCAGGAACCGTTTAGTTTCAGTGATGATCCCACAAACATCTTCACTTGCAAACCATATGAAAGAGCCTAAAACTGAACCCACAACTTAAACATGAGGCAAATGGCAAAGGCTTTCCCTTCCAGAGAGATAGATAGAGAAATGAATGGAGGGATTTTGTTAATTGGTTACATGGTTTATTGACATGGCTTAATTTCATAATTTGTGTTCTTCTTATGTTTGCTTTCTGTCTCATATGCTCAGATCAGATCATAAGGTGGGTTGCCTCTGTAAACTCACATGTCAGTTGCAGGTCATTTATGGTTCCCCATAGCTTGCTCTGCGCACTTTGCTCTTGAGGCCAGGTGTCTTTTCAAAGTTGTAGGTAGTGTATGCAGGTTTGCAGAATGTGCTCAGGTGTTTGTGGTCCTGTTTGACAGGCACACTGTGGGGACTACAGTCTGCCTGTATTTTATGTGAACGATAGTTGAGCCTGCAGTGTCCTGTTTGTAGACAGAAATTGTTGTATGTTGCTTTCTATTGAATCTTCTGACATCTTTATTTGTGACATTAAAAAAAGAACACCTTTAAGCTTAAGCATGTCTCTGGTGTTTAGAATGTTTAGTTTTCTTATTTAAAAAAAAAAGCAAAGCTGATAATATCTATGTTTAAAATTTGTTTTATCTCTCTACATTTTCACATTTCATAAAACAAGGGGTAAAAAACAAAATTTCATTTCTGAAATGGTGTGTAACATTTACATTGATTAAAATAAGATGCGTTGATCTAAGTCGTCCCCTTGTGGGATGCAATTTTTCGTTCTTTGAAGCCCCACCATGGCTTTTGCCGGGGGCCCTAAATATAGCGGTAACACATTCGTGGCCATAACAGCTGAAAGGAGTTTCTGGGACCTCTCCATGGGTGATCCTCATCCGCATGGTGACACTTTGTGTCACAGGGTGTTTATCGCTTGTGTGATATCCTTGTGGAGTACAACGAGCAAGCAAGCAAAAAACACCAACACATATTTCTGATGTATGTATAAGAATTCACACCCAAAAAAAAAAACATGTTTCTGATTTTTTGTGGGGCAATGTTTGATGAATTTCAGATCCAGTTGACACCCCAGCAGCTGCAGAGTTTACAATTACAGCTACAGAGCAAGATGGCAGGTCAGCAACTGGTGGTCCAGTCACACCAGCAAGACCCTACTATCCAGTTTTCTCAAGCTCAGGTACAGTACTCAACTACACATTATTTTATCATCTCACCCATGTTTTGTAGTCTGAAAGTTAAGTTTCTTCAATGTGGAAGTACAGTACTCAACTACACATTATTTTACCATCTCACCCATGTTTTGTAGTCTGAAAGTTAAGTTTCTTCAATGTGGAAGTATAGTTGAACGTTTGAAAATGTGTCCTTAGTGTGGAAGTGAATTTTAACATTTCTTCTCTGTTCATCGTAAAAAGGGAGAGTTGACACCTTATGTTGTGGTACACAGTAAGGGTGCATTGTCTGCCCTTTCCTCATCCGATTTAGTGAAATCACTAACTAATGTCTAGGGGAAGTGGTTCCCCGTGTGGGTTCCGGGGCCCTGTTTTAGGAAAGACAAAAAAAAAAAAAAAGACCCACTGCCTACCTAAAAGAATGTCGTAAGAGTCGACTAACTGGGAGCTTCCTTCGAAGTCAGAGTGTAACTGCCTGAGACAAGGAACCAGCAGTCGGCATACACATGAGTCAGATGAGTAAAATGGATGTACACGCAACACTCAGGTTCTGGAACAGGACTGCACTCCAGAAGTGGATGAACAACCAGAACTTTCTGCCAGAGTTTACAGCTAGTGAATAAGATGAAGAAGAAGAAGCTTGGGAAAGTTTAATATTTAAACCCTAAAAGTCTAAAAACTTTCCATTTGTTCCTTTTCCCTAGTTGTCTGTCTTAATGTCTTAAACATCCACTGCTGTTTTTGTAAATATTGCACGGTGATGCTGCAATCTTTTCATTGCACTCATAGCACCACAATTACCGCTCATAGCACGACACGAATGCCACAATAATGGGCATTTTTAAATCACCCGCCACAGAAATTGAACCTAATAGGTCAGGGTTTGTGAAATACATTCATTAACCTCTAAACTACAAGACCAAATTGCCTTCATAGTGTTGTGCTATAGAAATAACTTCTGTAATGAACATGATTAGTCACATTGTTATGGTTGGGAGGAGGGGGAGGGGGGTGGTTGGACTAAGAAGTGGAAGATTCCTTTTCAGTGCCAAGAACAAACTGTCCCATTTCTGTATCCATTGTTATTGAAGTTTTTCTGGTGTTTGCCGATGTATCATGCACAGTAGTGCGTAAATGTTTTAATAGTCATGTTGGGATGAAACTTTAGAATTGATATAATGCTGCATAATTCACATTTTCTTTTTATGTTAGCTCTGCACTACTTATACTGATGCATAAGAAACTAGATGTGGCCAAGACCTTTTGTGATTGAATAAACAGTATAGGAGCACATAATATTTCTATTTTGATAAGAATGGAGCAGCAGGGAGTGACCAGGAGATCTGGCTGACATTTATCACTCAGAGCAAAGGCAAGACAGGCATACAATCAGACACTCAGAGCAAAGGCAAGACACTATACAATCAGACACTAGGAGCAAAGGCAAGACAGGCATACAGTTAGACATTCAGAGCAAAGACAAGACAGGCATACAGTCAGACACTCAGAGCAAAGGCAAGACAGGCATACAGTCAGACACTCAGAGCAAAGACAAGACAGGCATACAGTCAGACACTCAGAGCAAAGACAAGACAGGCATACAATCAGACACTCAGAGCAAAGGCAAGACAGGCATACAATCAGACACTAGAAGCAAAGGCAAGACAGGCATACAGTTAGACACTTAGAGCAAAGACAAGACAGGCATACAATCAGACACTCAGAGCAAAGGCAAGACACTATACAATCAGACACTAGGAGCAAAGGCAAGACAGGCATACAGTTAGACACTCAGAGCAAAGACAAGACAGGCATACAGTCAGACACTCAGAGCAAAGGCAAGACAGGCATACAGTCAGACACTCAGAGCAAAGACAAGACAGGCATACAGTCAGACACTCAGAGCAAAGACAAGACAGGCATACAGTCAGACACTCAGAGCAAAGGCAAGACAAGCATACAGTCAAATTGCTATTGGTGCTCTTGAAATTGGAACTGGCTGCTGTTGATGAGAATGTCATGACTGCTGCAATGTTGGAATCTTAACTCAGTTCTGTGTTACTGCTTTATGGATTCTGTAGTCATTGTATTTTGGCAATGTTACTGTTTGGTGGCAAAAGAGCAACGGCACATAGTTTGGGCAAAGCAAGAACACTGACCTAATCCAGGATTCTGATGATCATATGAGATAGTATACAAAGACTACCTACGTTTATTGACATTGCGAATGATGATCATAAGTTTAGTGACTTAAGTGCTAACCCATTTTGAGCTTCCCATGTGGGCTCTGGGGCCCCATTTGCGGGGGAAACACAAGAATAGTCCCATTGCCTGTCCAAAAGCATGTCGTAAGAGTCGACTAATTGGGGGCTTCCTTCAAAGTCGGAGTACATCTGCCTGAGACGCAAGGAACCAACAGTGTACTTGCAAATTAGTCAGACCTGTGAAAAAGGTATGCAATTAACACTGTTTCTGGAACAGGGCTAGAGTCCAGAAGTGGAACAACAACCAGAACTTTCCTTCAAAGTTTACAGCCGGTGAACACGAAGAAGAAGAAGATTGCCTGGTTGAATTGGGTAGATGGTCTTTGCTACATTGTTTTTTAGATGTTTGGCTCAGACTTGGGCAAAAAGACATCTAAGATGTTTCAATGTTAAAGAACAGTTCTGAGAAAAATGTGGACCAAGAAGAAGAAAAACATCAGGATCATACATGAACATTGAGAACTGGCTCACAAACAGCATCCTGTTCCGAAAGCTGAGGTATTTCGGCCATGTTAAACATGCTGGGCTAAGGTGTTGCGATCGCGGGTTCGATCCTAGCTATGGGCAGTTTGTCTTTTGTTTTAACACTGGCACAGAGAGCTGACCATTCAGAAAGCAGTGGCAAACTACTGAATGTAACATTTGCCTAGAAAAAGCACAACAGCAACAAAAAAAACACCCTGGTGTTGGTTCTACAGTGTACTGCAAAGGATACACAACTAGCTATATGCTGTCTTGGGAAAAAAAAATTGATGGAGAGTACAATTGTTTGGAATATGAAACAGCGGCTGATTTCCTCAAATGTGGATTCGAGATATTGATGAAAGCATATAAGACCGGAAAACTAGCTAGAGACATAGAGACTTAAAGGTGTGCTGTAACGAGAGCAAAGTTCTGTTAAAAGCATGCTGATTGATGATGATGTAGATGTCTAGGAAGTAAGAAGAAAACCTAGTACTGTCTTTAGAATATGGAAAGGAAAAGCTTTTCAACAACACTTGTCATTGTATTAGTCACATTTACCCTAGTTGTTGAGGTGTGCTAAATGTCCTGTGTAAAAGAAAACTGACATTGTGTTCTCCACAGATGTACCAACTTCAGCAGCCAGGCCAGCAACAGATTTTTATACAAGCGACTGATGACCCAACAGAAGTGACAACTGATTCATAATTTTTATTTCAATTTCAATTTTTTTTTTTTAAATCTGACAATGTTTCAAAGCATTAACCACAGCTCCTTAATTCATCAATTATTTTAAACATCAGTAATTGGTGGAAAATATCTGTTTTGTACTTGATTTGATGAGCAAGATGAAAATCACGTTTGGGAACAAATGCAGTAAAGACACCCATATCTTGGTTTTATGGACATATGTTTTGTACTTGATTTGATAAGCACGATGGAAATCAGATTTGAAAATAAATACAGTAAAGACACTCATATCTTGGTTTTATGGACACTTATTTAACTTATTCAGTTCTATGAAACTCCTTTATGCTCATTAGTTAGTCCAAAAACTGCACATTTCTGATGATTCTTTTATCACAGATAGTTGCTACATTAACTCATTAGTCTGAATTGTTAGTGCTATTCTGCTAATAGTGTTACAATTTTAACTTGTTATTGTCTCTTTAAACTAGAACTTCTTAGGATATCAGGAGTTAAAGTAAATATAGGATGGTATTGAAAAAGGTAGTGGAAAGAGGTACTGATACAGATGGATTTGTGGCAGTACCAAACAAGAACTGTTGCTCTAAAAATAACAAAACTATCTGTTTTACAATAGAGATATTATGAATGTCACATTGGATGTAGTGTGTTTTTGAAAGCTTCATCGTTTTTCTTTCTGTAACATACTTATTTGTAGTAGCAACTACAGATCCTGTTTCAATAACTACAGACAATTGTCAGTATCTAAAAGATTATGCCACCATTAAAACAGGGTTGGGGCATTTATAATTGATATTTGCTGCTAGGTATGTTTAGTTGGCTGTACAGAAGTTGATAATTGTGGTCCATGGATTACTGCCAATTGTATTGTATTAATGATCTTTTCTGTGCTGGGGCTCAGATCTCTGGTCCATGACAATCCCTTTTTTTAGAATTTGTAAACTTAGTTGAATAATCTTGCTTTAGAGTAACTAGAAGTATTTAGGCTTTGTTGACTTCATGGAGAGCACCAAAGAAATTCTTATCATGAAAATAATGAAGGTACAAAAAATATAATGCCCTCTTATATTGGACAACAGGTTACTCTGTAACCATCTGGGGCCCAGTGTTGATGTTTCAGTTTGCGATGCCATTGGGAAACAATTGCAGAACAACAAAATACTATTGCACAATTCTTTGCCTGGCATAATTTGCTTTATCCCATCACAATAGAGTTAACATGGGTGTTACTAAAGTCCGGACACATTTAAAGTCTTTTTAACTGTAATTTTTCCTGTAGAGTCACATAGAGTGGTCTCTTGTTAACCTGACACTAGCTCCCTTGACTCTACCTTCAACTTTGAAAAGACACCTGACCTCAAGAGCAAAGTGTGCAGAGCAAGCTACAGGGAACCATGAAGGACCTACTACTGACATACAAGTTCATAGAGGCAACCCACCTGATGGTCTGATCTGAGCATACGAAACCGAACGCAAAGAAGAAGGAGACTTTTTTTCCCCTCACAGATATAATACTTACTTGAACACATAAAGCGTGATTGAGCTAAAGTTCACATGAATTTTGCAAAGTGCCTTGCAGATTATTGAAATCATATTGAAGCAGTTATTTAATATTCTAACTGGGAAAAAGTAATGTCAATAAATTTCATTTATGCAAATATGTAGTTTTGCCTATTTTAAACATTTAGGGACAATAATTGTTTCTGATCACACTGTTTAAATTCACAGTAGAATAATATTGTGGTATTTTTAAAAATTCTTCTTCTACGATCATCCAAAGATGTAATCACAGCAAGGCTGCCATTTTTGCACCTTTCGGCCAACACATCCAACTTCTGCGGGCATTTGTTGACCTGGTAAGCCTTCCCTTTCTTACTTTCTTTTTCTAATCATGTACAGATTTACAACAAAACAATTTAACATATGTCTCTGTCATTTCATTAATCATTACAAACATAATCCTGCAGTTTATTTCTTTGTACATAAGCTTTTCTCATTAAAATTAGTATATGCATGTATGTAAATCTTGTTTTCCATGACAATTTGTTTGTAATGATGAAAGGCATGGAATAAGATGTTTCTGCTCATTGTTTTTAATAATCATAAATTAACACTTTCATCTAAGTGTTTTTCAGTTGTTCATCATGTCTTGTTCATATCGTTGGGATCCTGATTCTTCTTCTGTGAATTATAATGGGGAAAACTGTAAACTGGAGAAATGATATGAGGGGTTGTTTTTGGGGAGACGTATCTTGAGAAATAAAATTGTTAGAGGATGCTTTTTCATGCCTTTAGGCATTTTGGACATATAGTGCTAGACTTTTATTTTATAGACCAATTTGCACTTGGTGGTTGATATGGTCAGCATCACGTCGGCCACCTTTACTTCCTATGACCTTACCTCATATCCATTTAGGGCTTGGTTAACCTGAGAGCCAAGGTCAGTTTTTATCCGGCTGCATTTGGGTTTGAACCCATGACCTCTGAATCTACAGGCTAGCGTTCAGCTACTGTCCCACTGTAACTCCCAGATAAACTTGTAAACTTTATAAAAACTATTAAACCTGACAGGGAAAGAGCAAGGGAAAGGCAGATAAATATCTTCATGGCTTGGCTGTATGCTTAACTGAGACCAGATCACAGACTCATGTAACACTCTTGTTTAAGCCAATGAACCACGATCACAAATGTTTTTCTCAGGTTAAGTGGTGAACTATTAGTCTAGCCCATTTTACAGATCGCATCATGGGCCACTTGGGAACTGCTGCTGTTCTACAACCTCAGCAATCACCTGAGTGGAAAACCAGTGCAACGTGCCATAATTATATTTTTTTTACCTTCCATGGCAACAGCTTAATTTGGTCTGAAGTGCTGTATTTTACAGTATGTAAGGTGATTTGTATGTTTTCCCAACAAATTTTGAGTTTGGGGGAAAAAAAGGGGATGCTGTGTTTGTTGTCTTGTATACAAAATGTGTTAACAAACATTCATTTCTTAATTTTGGGCCAAAAAAAAATCGGGCATCTCATGCAAGGAAAAGTACGGTGTATGTGGTCTTCCAGTGTGAAATTCCGCTGCTCTGCCCATATGTAGACATTTTGTGTGTGTTCCATCTCTATATTAGAGGTTGACTGCAGTAATTCCACTGCAGCCTTTGGGAATATTATGGTAAGGACCCAATCTCTTATTTGGTGTGATTCTCATACCACTGTCTGAAAGTCATAAGAACACTTGTTATTTCTGTTCCCACCATCTCCCACAGTCAAGTCAAACCCTGGTACATCAAGATTTGGATTGTAAAATATCTTGACATTTCATTAACCTCTTATATCTTTCTTGGTCATTTCTTTTTTGGTTCACCCTTAAAAAAGCAGTTAGCAGTGTGTGTTGTGGTTTGCAGCTAGGCTGTGATATCCACATGTTTCGGCAACACATCCGATTTTAGTAAATTCCTAATTAGTTGCCCTTTATGACATGCATGGTAAGGAGCAATAGGTCTATTCTTTTTCCCTTAAAATCGGACCCCGGAACCCACACGGAGAATCTTGGTAACAACTTATGCCTGAAGTCTGTGGTCTTCCCATATGAAATTCTGCTTTCTGCTCACGTGTGGATGTAAAGTAACTAAGAAACATTTTCACCGGGCTGTCTGTAATTCCAGGAGTGATTGTGTATGCATTGCCAGAAAGGCCATATAGTAAGTACGCTGCCATTGTGTTTCATTTTCATAAATGTATATATATCATCATGTAATAAAATTGTTTTGTCATCTGAATATTTCTTTGTTGGCTTTTTGAATAGGCTCATACGTGGTTCATGAGAAATTAATTGCTTAGCCTGCTAACTATGTCAAGATAAACTGATTGTAGTGTTTTATAAATATGTCTCCCCATGTGGGTTTTGGAGCACCATTGTAAGGAAACAAGATTAGACTCACTGCCTCCCCAACTGTCGACTAATTGGGGGCTTTCTTTAGAGTCGGAGTGCACCTGCCTGAGAGGTAAGGAACCAACAGTCTGCATACAAATAAGCCAGATATGTAAAATGGGTGTGCATACAACACTCAGGTTCTAAAAAATAAGGTCTAAAGTCCAGAGGTAGTTGAACAACCTGAACTTTTTGCCGGAGTTTACAGAACGCGAAGAATAAGAAGATAAATATGTTGAGATAACTTATTAGATGTTTCTTCTTCTTCAAATTCACTGGCTCTAAACTCAGGCCGAAAGTTCTGGTTGTTTGTACACCTCTAGACTTTGAGTCTTATTCTAGAACTTAAGTATTATGTGCACATCCGTTTTACAGATCTGAACTATCTGTATGCAGATTATTGGTTTCTTACCTGAAGATTGGCTCTTGATCTAAGTTTTATCAAGCGATGCAAACCAACTCTACTTGCAGGACACCAGTGTCTCTTTTTCTAATGCTCTGTTTGTCAGTTACAACAATGTCAAGCTGTATTGCTCTCTAGTCTTTGAAAAGCTATTACTGCCTTGGCCTCCATTCTCATGCTGGATGTTGGGATGTTATATACGATATGTCTCTTTCTGTGCTCTCTCTCTCTCTCTCTCTCTCTCTCTCTCTCTCTCTCTCTTAAATCAGTGTACATTCACCTTTAAATTGAAACCCCGCCAACTAGTTCTATTACTTTTGGTGATCAAGTGCTTCGTGAACAGAAAGTATCCGTACTTGGCAAGACTGATTCAGAAGGGTGTGATCAGATGGTCTGGATGCCACTCATCACGAACGAGAAAAGATGGGTTCTTAAGATCAGGTTGAATCTGGCACCATCAGTATGGTAACTCTTCATTGTCAACCAATAAGGGGGATAGAATACATGTAGGAATGTCCCAAATGCACTGATGTTCATTCATATTTCATTTTGTATAAATTCAACAAACACAATTCATATCATTTTCTAACTACTATTTCACTCAGTCCACCTGCATTCATTCATTGATCTGTACACATACTTTGCTGAAGAAAATTATACTTGTTTTGGC